GATTTTGGTCATTTTTCTGGCGGATATTATAACATTAAAACGACGAAATTCTCGTGTTTGGAATATTAGGTGTTTAGATTTGGAAAATAATCCAATACGTTAATGATTATAATATAATGCCGAAGCCGAAAGACGGAAAAATAATCGCAATTTTGGGACATTCGGTCTGTGCCTACAAAGGTAAAACGTGGTCCGGCGTTTTATGAAGAGGTCATAATAGGCCGGAACGGTTCGGGCGTACCGCATACTTGTACGATACTATACCGGAGAGAATCCCGAGCGAAGTTCAATCGCAGAGAGCGTTTCCGAGGGGAAAATCACGTCAGAGAGTGTCAGAGAACTCGTGACGTATTCGCACGGTGAGTCTCGATAGGTTACGGTCGTATATTGTCGAAATACAGAAATATAGAAACGATTAATTTTCGTTTGAAAAGCGCAAACGGTTTGTAAATAAGAGTCACGGCGAAAAAATAAAATAAAACGGTATTAAAAAACTCCATTATAATAATGTTTTAATTTCGAAAGCGGACGCGTAGCGCTCGACTTTTCGGAGTAGATTTTATTATATTTTTTTTGTTTCGTTATTTCGCTGTAATTATTTCCGAATAACTTTCGAAATTTTATTTTGATCTAAAAAAATAAATCCGATTAATGTTTCTTTGAAAAATAAAAAATAAATACGTTAAATATTAATATAAAATATATATTATGAAAATATCGACGAGAAATTACCCGGTATTTTTTTTTTTTTTTGCGATTTTATTTAGCGACGAAATTAACACTGTATACTAATGGGCGATGCATACCCGGTATTATACACAGTTCTGTGTACAATACGCCGATTTTGATTATCAAAGTTTTTCGCATTTCTTGTTATTTTTTTTTTTTTTCGTTTTACGCTATTCCGACGTCATTATTCTTCGTCTATCTCGAAATTTTATACCATCGACTTGATAATATTATACGCGCGGTATTTCGTAAAACGCCATGCCATGGAATACGGTTACGTAAAATATGATGGGGAAAAAAACAAAAAAAAAACTTTGTAAATAATATTATAATGATCGAGTGCTAAAAACGTCAATGAGAAAACGAAAATCAAAAAAAAAAAAACCTCAAACTTAATATTATCAATCTCCAATATTCTGACAGTCGCACGACCGGGGTGGGGGACGCGGTGTGTTTCGGGTGTTCGGAGACACCTCCGTACATCCGTGTTCGAGTAATATAAATGTGTGGAAAAACGTGTTTTTTTTTAACGTAAACATATGCGTCACGCCCGTTTAAAACGTCCCGATTGCGCCACCGATATCCGGAGAACAACGACCGGTCGTATAGGCACACCGTTGTCCTCGCGGGCGCGTCGTTCGCGATTACGGTAACGCGCAGTGCGCCGCGGTGGCGTGCGTCCACGAAACGGGCGAATTCCGTTTCGGACACCCGGTATACACGCCCGGTGAGGTTTCGCTCGTCCCGCGTCACGAAAACGGCGCATATCGCAACGAAATGTCGTAACGCAGTATCGGGAAATGTACTCGGGCCGGCAGGTGCGGCCGTCGGCGAGCGGTGACCGTTCTTGGTTGAGGAGGAGGGGGGGGGGTGTGAGGGTAAGGGAACGTCCGAGAGCCGAGAGCGTAAGATCCGGAGGTTTCGTCGGACGGGCACGTTCGCCGAAAAACGCCCGGAATACATTACGACGGCGTGCCGTACGCGCCGGCGCCCGGCTTTTATTATTCGTATTATTATTATTTTGGTAGTTTTAACACGTTGAACCGAAAAGGTCTTCCAACAATGCGTCGCTTGATTTCGCGAGCGGTCGCCCCCCCCCCCTCTTACCCTTCCGCCCCCGTTGCCGTTCCCGGAGCGTTACACGTACGTAACGGCGGCGGAGTGGGCAAATTCGTTTGGCGACCCGTACGCGGGCCGCGATTCACGCGCGGACAATGGCGAACGGCGAACGGCCGCGATTCCTTCGAGTCCGCGAACGGGTCACGCCGCGCCATCAACACGATACACGCGCGCGGTCCGTTTTCGGCCCGGTTAAAAAAAAAAAAGAAAACCGTTACACCGTCGGCTTATCCCCTCTGCGAGTAACGCGCGCGAGTTTCGCTAAAAAACGCCGGCACGTAGAACTGTATTGTTCCGTTTCTGTTCGTCGCGCGTTCGCAGCGCGGCCTATTGGCGACGGGGGTGGGGAAGGGGGGGGCGAAAGACCAAAAATACGTCGTTGCGTATTAGGGACGGACGCAGCTCTACCGTTATAATAGTCAATTCGATGTATACCCGCGAGCAACGATAAACCATTGCCAACGAAAAAACGATTCCGATGAACAGAGTTCGGTCGACGGTGACGCTTTTTTAACAACATTTATATCGTATTGCGGTAAAATAATCAAACGGGCGTTGCATATTTTCTTTCGCGATATCTGTTTAGCGTATTCGATTTCCCCGTTTCTCCTACGTTTTTCCCGATGCTTTTCGCCCAGGTTTTCGCATTTGTCGATAAAACTCCTGAGCGAGTTTGAGACACGACCTCGCAACAGCGATGTCCTGTCAGAACAGTCGCTACGCACGAAAATCGGAGCAAGGTACACATGGCAGTAATAAAGTCGTCCGCCGAAAAACAAAAATAAATACACGAACGTCACTACACACCCGTTTGAAAACCATAAGCTACTCCGTTCCGCCCGGGCTCTAGAATTATCGAAATTTCCGAACGGCGGCGGGGGACGGGGTGCCGGGATGGGGGAACGGCGGTCTATTTCCATAAAACAAACGTTAATAATATAACAAACGTCCGGCTATATCCGAGCGATTAAAATAACAACGTAACGATATAATATTGTGTTGCGTATAGAGACGACGCTCGTTTCACGGTCCCGTGTCTGCAGGTTTGTGCTCTACGGGCCCCTCACGGTCTTTAATTATACATAATATTTGTTTAAACGAACTTCATTACGGACTGCATTTGTTTATGCATATACATATATATTGTTGCAAGGTATACGAGGGCGAAAACTAAATAAAAGTTATGAATTTATAATATTATTATTATTAAACGCGCAATATACTTTTAGCTAAAAGTATTTGCATAAACGCGTAATTTTGTTTAATATTCGCGAAAATTGATGTACGGTGCATTTCGTTTCGGGCGCTACGGAACACGACCGCGTCTGGCCGGCAGGACCGTAAAACGTAAACGTCGAGGCCCCGCGCGGTAAATTTTTCCGGGGGGCTCCGTTTCGCTTTTCCCATTCTAATGCCGAGTGTGGGCGGATCTTCACCACTCAATATTCACACCTTAGCCCCGAATAATTTTAATCTGTATTTGCCCGAATAATCGTGTGCAATTTACTGTCCGGCTACGATTGCGCCTGGACGAGGTGCCTCTTAAAACGCGGGGGCGGGGGGGGGGCTCTGTGCTGCGTGCGCACAGCTTGGGGCCGACTCCGGTCGGAACGAAACGCGTTTAAGACCTTCGGATCGCTCGGAAGATCGCGACTCGGTCGGTAAGACTGCGGCGCGTTCCGGTGGATTGCGCGGGACATTTCGGAATCGGAACGCGGGACGCGTAGCAGAAGATCAAAACTGACGGGAGGACACGTCGGTCGGAACGCCCTCGACGACATCGGGAAACGATCAGAAACGAAACGATTTACGAGCGAGATTAGGATTATTAGTACCGAACAATCACATAAACGCGCAACACCGCCGGCCGTAGTGTCGATTTCAGAACAATACACGCTGGCGAGCGTGGTCGGCTACGGGAAAACGCGCACAGAAAAGAGTGCGAGACGCATTCCCCAGTAAAAGTATACGAAATGTGGTAAACGTACGGAGGCGAAGAACCCAGTGTGTTACAGCGATACGGACGCGGATCGGAGCGAGTTGATGGAATCGACGGCGGATACTGAAGACTGCATCCAGAATTCTATGTTTAGAAAACGTTTTCAAACAATGTGCCGACGGACGGGAAAATCCGGTGTATGGGCGTGAAAAAATTCGGAACGGTTTCGCCGGCCCGGAAAGAAAAAAAAAAAACCCGCACGTTACGCGGTTACGTGTCCGCTACCGGAGCGCGCGCTCCGGGAATCTGAAAAACGATAGCGATGATTTCGAAAAACGATCCGTGCCGTCCGATAACAACGGTTGCGGTCGATGCGATCCGTGACACGGAGTTTGTGCGGGACATGTACGAGAGACGAAACGAAATGATAAAAAATCCGCGAGTAAATTCGTTTAATGCACCCGTAATAGAATTTCGTGAATTTTATTTTCACGCCCGCATTATGCGTATATAAATATATTTATTTTCTCAAGAACATTTACGCGGATGAAATCGACGTTTTTAATAACGTGTGCGTGTCTTGAATATTGCGTGCATGTACATGTACACGCTGGCTGGCTGGCGGCGTGTATTAAATAACGTTATTGAAAAAGATACACACTTCTATAAGTATAATTTTTTTTTTTTCTTCTTCTTCTTCTTCCCCCGTCCGTGTAATATTCATATACAGAATACGTTCACTTTGATTAATGGTGTACCGAACGACCGTTGCGCGCGCGCGCGTATATTATTGCAATAACGTATCGCTATTTATTTATTTATTTTTTTTTTTATTATTTTTTTTTTTTTACACATATATTATTCCGATTTATAATGCGTTTTGATACACGCTAACAATTCGACGTTGGTTTTATTTTTATTTTTTTTTTTTTTTTTTTTTTTTTTTTGTTTTCTCTTTCCGTCTATAAGTCTGCGCTCGATTCGGGGTAGCGCGTTGGCGGTGCGCGCGCACGAAATAAGTGCGCGGTTCGGAGTAAACCCCGTTCCGCGGCCGTACGCCAAGACGGTGCCGAACGATATTGGAACGCCGTCGGCTGCGCGTCCGGCGGGCGGGCCTGGTGAGGCCCGGGCCCGCCCCGATTTGTAAAACCGCGCGTACGAAGTAGCCGTACGAATATTACGGATTTTTCCAAAAAAAAAAAAAAAAAATATACGCGACAAGGGAAAGTCATTTGGGGAAATCTCCAATTCGGTTGTAGAACGCGCGTTGGTTTTACCGGTAAGTCCGGCAGAACAGCCGAAAGGAGTTTTTCGGCGACGAGAAGAATCAAGACATTTTCAAGGACGTCTACGACAACTGCGCGTCTTCGTGATTTGGCGTTGATATCGATTGAAAGGCGGTTCGGTTCGGAGTTATTGCGCAGTTCTACAAATGTTATTGACGAGTTTGCCAAAACGAAAAACAGAATAATTCAATTTACTAAATAGATATTATAAAAAGTTATTTTATAAGAATACATTATGCATACGACTGCAGAGTAGTAAGTACAACTCAAAAAATAAATTTAAGTTTCTCTGAAAAAAACTGTGTATCTTTACAAATTATTCTTATAATCGAGCCCGTCCCGAATTTTTACCCTGGACGTGTCCAGGCTATCCCTGAATATCGTACGCTATTCACTGTGTATGATATTGCGCCCCCGCACTATGATATATGACAACGTAACGCAGGTTCCGATTAAAATTGCATCGGGGCGAGTTGATGTATCGGCGCCGTGTACTCGTCAGTGACATTATTGATTTCGATTAATAAAAAAAAAAGATAATAATAATAATAATAATAATAAAAAGATTTGGTTTTTTTTTTTTTGAAACTCCGAGGCGAAGCGAACGTCCTCGCGGTCGTAAAATCGTAACTGTAATGTTATGATATCGTTGTTGTGTTTGGTTTTTTTTTTTTTTTTTTTACTCTCGTTCTGTCTGCTAACAATACTTTACGACCGGAAAACATCGACATCTGCAAGAGTACGGTTTCCGGTGGCGAATTTCGACTGTACAATATAATAATATAGTCGGTGCGCCGTCGTCGTTGTGGATGTTATTTTTTTGATCATTGTCGTCGCCGGATGGTTTTCTCAATAATGGGTGGAAAAAAACCCGTCGGAAAACCGCGGTAACGATTTCGGTACGTTTCCATTTCGTTTTGGATTCTGATGCATAGGTTTTCCGTCTGTTCGCCGAATTTTCATGCCGGCTCTCTGCGGACCAGATACTACCGAGTTTCTACCGGTAAATTTTTTCCGGTGACTTTGCTCTGATCCTATAGGTTTTTTTTTTTTCTTTTTTCGCAATCCACGTACAAAATCAACCCATCGAAAACACATCAACGTATGTTTTAAATTTGTGTTTCCACACTCGGATGTTTGGTTGTTTTCTAAATATCGATTGTGACCGGACAATTATTTAGGCTTTGTAAAACAGGCGCAGAAAACACATCGATACAACGACTAATGCGTAATATTCACGCAGACGACGACGAAAATGGGTTACAACGATTACAATAGGTTGGCGCCTACAAATATCTAAAACCGCATAGTCCAGTGGCGGCGTAAATAAATACCGGGTGAGCAAAGCGCGCAAATGCCACGGGCCCGTTACATTTGCGGGCCCCGCACCAGGACTCGAGGCATTAGTGGACAGGATTTTTTTTTTTTTTTGCTCATCGACCCTTTGCCGCTGCGATATTTTGCGGCGGAAGTTCTACTTACGCCACTGGACTATAGTCACGTAACGGTCGCGATGTCTGTCGGTGCAGGCTCTCGATAAAATCACCGTGCGGATACTTATTGTCACGTCGTTACCCAGTCGAATAACGAAATACGTCATCAGTCAGTTATCGTTCCGCGTGAAAAACGATAATTTGACGGGTCGTTCGGTTTTTAAATCGGTATACCCAATTAACCGCGTGTAAATACTTGGGTAAAATTGACGGTAATTTACCGACCGGCCGAGGCCGAGCATTGTGTCGCTCGTGGAAAATGTAAAAGTACTTTTCGAAACACGTTTAAGATTTAATATTTCACGTAAGTACGTACAGATTATGATATATATGTATACTAAGAAAAAAAAAACAAAAAAAAACACTTGACTTTTGCGAGTAATCGTTACTTTAAGCGCGTCAGGTCGAAAGATAACTTTCCAAAAAAAAAAAAAAAAATGCCAATGTCGATTTATTATTTTTTACACGTCTTTACTACTGTCCGCACGTTTGCATAATGATTTTCAAAAACTCATTAAACGTTTTCTGCGCGATAGTTTTTTTGAAAAAAACCAATGCATAATTTATACACGGGTACATCGAGTTCACGGTTTGTGCAGCGGCACCGACTACCAGTTAGTACACCGGTTCAGTTTATTGATATTTAATTTCACGGAATTTATTTACGTTCAAATTGACTGCTTACAGGGCGACGACCTACAGTCGCGTTATCCTTACGCTAATAACTATGTCAATATTCATTTTTTTTTTTCTACCCGGTTTAGTACGAGGGGCACATATATTACAGAGAAAATACAATTTTTTTATTTTCCGTCTTTCGATCGTTCAACAAAATAACTTTGTCCACATTTTAAAATGTTCAAAATAGCCACTTCGTTAAACATAGTATAACACAGATATTTCAACGTACCATAGATTCGTATCCGATTAATAGTTTTTTTTTTTACTTACGGTGGCTTTTACGCATAGAAATTAATAGGCTTATACGGTAACGAGACGTGAAATTAATTATTTTCACGCGGAATTTCTAGAAATTCAAATGGCTATTTTTACTACTTGTTACGGCTATAATTACGAAATGAAAATAAAAATGTAACTTTTATCCACACATAATGAGTCACCCTCGCACAAAACCCGATTGAAAAAAAAAAAAAAAAACGAATACAAACAGAATTGTTAGCATAAGGATAACACGTCGTATCCGCTAATCCGACGATACGAATTTCACCACGATCTCGTTGCAGTTGATTATTTAGTATTCCTATTGTTATTATTGTGTCAAATAAGTTTTGGAAAAAAACAAAAAACAATAACAAAACGCATTATTAGAGTGTCATTAGACGACGACGCGTAAACAGCGAAACTGTCGAAACAAAGGGAAGCGAGTTCTCGCCATTCGGGATATTTGGAGGAGAAAAAAAAATTAATACAAATATCATTTGGCGGTTCGACAGACCGAGAGGATCGGTGGAGGTGGGTGGAGGATGGTGGGCAGCGTAGAGGTATACAATATTATCTCTCGGTTATCGAAATAAATAACGCGGGCATTATAATGTATAGGTAACAGTATACAGTGATAAGTTACCGTCGACATACGTCAAAAAAAAAAAAAAAAAAAAAAAAAAATTAAAATTACACGACGCGTCGGACTGTATAATTGCGTTTAACGTTCGTGCGGTCGGGGGTGGACGATTCGAACCCCTCCCTCCGGGCCCTCGGCCATTTTCGTATTTTTTTTTTTTTTTTTTTTTTTTTTTTTTTTTCCAGAGCGCTCATTTGACGTTTCCGAGCTGTTTCCCCAGCCGGATTTCCAGACGCGTAGAGTCCCGATCGACGACCGATGTTATTATTATTAGTGTCGTCGTCGTCGTCGTCGAATAATAACGGGGCGCGCGGGCGAGGGACGCGCGCGCAAGATCGATTGATGATTTACACGGCCAGCGCATCGCGCGTAACGCGTAGGCCATTTGTCGGAGGCCCCCGCGCGTACACCTGCGGACGCGCCGCGTCGTCGGAACGCCGACACGGTACCGCGCGCCGTGACGTACGACGTTAATTTACACCCCACCCGCCATTGCCGCCGCCGCCGCCGTCCCCGCACACTCGACGGCGAAATTAATCTCGCCCGCGGGCAACACGCGTATTATACACGTGTATATACGTATACGCGTGTTGTTGTTGTTGTTGTTGTTGTTGTTGTTATTATTGTAATAACCGAATCGAATAATAACGAAGTTAATAATCCGCGCGGCCGAAAATCCCGCCCGCGTAATGCTATTACTTGTCATTGCGATTACGATGAGCGCGTTATAATCGCTCGTCCGAATGATCGGCGGCCGGCCGGCCGCGTACCGCCCCGCCCGACGACGGGAATGCCGCGGCGTGCCGGGCGCGATAAACGAACGGACGAATTCCGGCGTCCGGGACGAGAAAAAAACCACCGCACGGCCGCGGTCGGCCGCGACCGTCGTCGGTGGCCGTGCCGACAGGGCGGCCCATAACGGGCAACGGGCTACGGGCCGACGGCGTTTAACGGCCGCGGTGAGAACGGGCGCGGCGAACCGAATAACGAACGCGCGTCGTGGGACAAACGGAAACGGGCCCGGCCGCCGGTTGACGGCGATTCAACGTCCGCGTTGTCAACGTTCGGCAACGGCCGACGGTGAAACGATTCCGAGCGGGGTCCGGTCGATAGCGACAGTTTATCGACAATGCGTACAACGCGTACTACGGTCGAACCAGTCTGACAGTCGCCGTTAACAACGTTACATTAACACTATTTGTTTAGTGTACCGGTTTTCCCGGTTTCCCCGCGTTTGCTCGGAACGATTTCGAGAAAATATCGAAAACAGACGATTGCCGTTTTTTTTTTTTGCTCACGATACAATACGAGGTGTGCAAACGGGCGTATGGAAACGGGCAATGCCTTTTGCTTTTTGTTTTCGCTCCGGTTTGAGCGGATCGATGCCAAACTCGGATCGTGCATTTGTGTCCCCTCCCCCCCCCCGTTCGGTCATTTTGCCACGGGCATTAGAAATTCTAGTTGCGCCACAGGCGACTCTTCCCGTTTCACGCGGGATTGTTCTTTTTTTTTTTGTCGGCTTTGCGTCCCGTAGTCGTCCCGACGAATCTCTTTCGGTCCAGTTATTTTGTCTTGTTTTTTTTTTTTTATATCGATGCCAACAATTATTATTCCGTATAAATTTTTTTTTTTTATTTAATTAGATTCAGATATTTTATAAATTAAGTGGATTGAAAATTTCATTTTATTTTCGAATAAATTTAACGGAAAAAATATTCGTTCTAGATAATGCCGGCGATTGCGATTGTATTCGTGAAAAATAATAACCACGAGAATCGATACCGGCGTTAATAATAAGTCTGAGACACATCTCCGGTAGAAAAGTTGTCCACAGAAAAAGAAAATAATTATTATGATAAACATCTTTGTAAAACCAAAACGATCTTCACTCCGCTCAGTATCTAAAACTATAATAATTAATAAATATTACTTTGATTGCATGTTATACTGAAATTATTTTTTCTTGATTTTTAATTTTTTTTAAATCCTACACTTCGCACGACCCGGTGGAATCGCGAACGATATCAATATAACATCCCAATCGAGTCGAGTCGATTGTCAAGAGAGCCGCCGCCGGCGTATAACGGACGGAATGCCGGGAAGTTGTACGGGGGAAACGATCGAACGATTCGAACGCTGTTTTTTATTCGCATGCCGATGAACGAATGTTGAAAGGAGCGTTGACATAACGTACGGTGAGGGGACCGAGAACAAGAGGGGAAGTGCGCTGAAAATGACGGAAGGATAGTGTCAAGAAATTATTAGAAGAAACTGGAATAGACTGAGAGCAGACGTATGATGGAGACGGATGGAAGGAAGTAGTTTTGGCGGCCAAGAGTTTGAACGGCTCATAAATCCTAAAAAAAAAAAAAAAAAAAAAACAACGTCTTTTGAAATATTCGATTAAACGCGTGTGAAACAAAAATAATAAAGGAGCAACCCTGTGAACAAAATATTCGTAAAAAGGTTCAACAACGTCTTCAGAAACGTGTTACGAAAAAAAAGGCCTGTCCTTCTTTAGGATATATAATGCGATTCGGCTTAATAAAATTATTATAAGGTCCGGTGAAATATTTAAAATAGCCCGCTTGAAACTTCGCACAAAGAAAAAAAATACCGTAACGAAACCTTTGGACAATAATTGTGTAGAGATTGCGCAGAAAAAAAAAACCCCGGATGTTACGAATATCCACGGTTTACCATTGCGGACACGGTGTAAAAATTGAAACCTGCGATCTCGCGACGTCGACGAAGTTAATGCGGAGAAAAAAAAACAATTGAATTTAATAAAAATCAATAGGACGATTGCTAAGTGGAATACTATAGCGACTTCGAATTAACGCTTGAAATTCTCCAGTTTTTTTATTTTTTTTTTTGGGGGGGGGGGTAACTCGTCAACCCCCGGCCTCGACCGCTCGCGCCTATTACCGGACACGTTTTTGTATTACTGTTATTTTTTCAGTCAGTTATTACGGTTCGAAATTTGCGAAACGTACCGTATGTTTTCATACCCGAACGGTCTATTTTCGAGATACCCGATCCGGCACACACAACGCGAATACCTAACATTTTTTTTTTTTTTGCTTTACACGTCGGCTCATCGCAAAATATCGAAACGCGATTCGAATAAACGCCGCGGTTCGCCTAAATACAGGTACACGGGTACGATTTCGTGTCGTTACACGCGGTCCTCGGCGGTTTTGAATAATGCACACCGCCACACCGTAGGCGTTTCAAAGGAGTTTTTTGCCGTTCAATAGATACCGGACCGACTTGTAACGGGTATTGTACCGAAAATATACGTAAATATTTCGGATACACAAGGGTCTTTTCGCACGCGGTATCGTACCGTGCGTGAAACGGCTACTTTATTCGAATATCGACATTTTTTTTATGATATTATTATCAATGTTTATTTTTATTTTTTTTCGCAGCCGAATTCATCGGCGGATATACATACTATTGATGGCGCGGGCGAGTGTTTTGATGGAAAGAACTGATATTCGATCGAATGTAAAGTTAAACAAAACAAAACAAGAAAAAACATAAAAAAAAAAAAAAAAAAAAAAAAAAAAAAACTTTCGGTTTAAAGCGGAAAATCGGTTTGTGGCGAATAAACATCATTGGATTTATTTGGTGTACTGTTTATTTACATGTTTTGTTATTTAAACGCGAATTAAACTCAACAGAAGATCGAATTCACGAAAGAAGTAATTGCCATACATGTAAATTATTAAAATGGACCAAAATAAAAGACGGAACAAAGCCACGAAATATGAGAAAAAACGACAAAAAAAAAAAAACCCTAAGATAATGGGGTCGGGCGTAGCCACTGTTAATGGTAATTCAATGTACACCAATAACTTGCAAACAACGATAAACTATGGCAAACGAAAAAACTATTCTGAGCTGAGTTCAGTTGATAATGATGCGCTTTGTCAACAATATATACATATATATTTTTTATTATGTTATATTACATTATATTAATTTATGTTGGTAAAATAATTAAACACACATTGTATATTCTCATTAATAACGATTGTTAAATGTACCGAATTTTCCCGATTTTCCTACGATTTTTTCTCGGTTTTTCACATCTGATGGGAACTGTTGGGAAAATTGAAAAACGACCTCTTTAATGTACCACCCCGGTGAACATTTTTTTCAGAAAAAATGCTATCATAATGTTGGACCGAAATTTCGGGTAGAAAATTTTAGAATATTTCGTACGTTTTCCCTTTTTACTCCATTTTTTTTTCTTTTTTTTTTTTTTCACATTTGATGAAAAAACTCCTGAAAAGATTGAAAATGTCCTTTCAGAAAAAGGTCTGCAATGTATACATCAAAGTAAGCTATCTGACAGAATTGTGATACACAGTTTCAAAAAAAAATAAAAAAAAAATAAATAATAAAAATCTTTGTAAAACCAATTCGCTACAATCAGAATCTAAAAGTAATGGTACGTAACGAACACTCGAATCTGCCGAGTTTTTTGATTAACGATAAAAATATAATTTACTACGATCAAGTTAAAAAGCAAAACTAAAATCAAAACGGTGAACTGTCGCCGTCGAATAAACATAATAAAGGTTTTTTTAATCGTATTAATCGCATTGTTATTATTATTATTATTAGTTTTTTTTTAAGATAGCTTTTAATAATTGTAAGCTTCCCGTGTCGATATTATATTAATGCGCCCGTGTGACTTAAAACGATAAAATAACCATTTGCAAATAAAAACGGATTGTCGTGGAAAAATATAAATAAAAACCGCGTGGGAACCACTCGTAATACGACGGCCATCGGGGGGCGGGGGCGGAGGGGGTTAACGACGATAATAATATTACAATACGTGTATACGGAATCGAGAGGTTTTCGGGAACGCGACGGCAGAATAAAATATTATAGTGCCCGAAAATCGTATACAAAATACCTGTCGTACGGAATAGTAATAAAACATTATTGTGTATAGTTACGGGGCAGTAAAAAAAAAAAAAAAAACCAAGTCTTTCCTCCCCCCGTGATTCGAGTCCGGTAGATTTCAATGCTCAAATAAAATATAAATTACGATCCAAAGCCCCGATAAAATATTAAAAATATTTAAAAAGAAAACAATAATGACAATAAAAATCGAGAAATGTAAAAGAGAATTTTACCGGTGTGCGAAACTTGAAGTTTTTGTTTCTTTTTAGTGATAATTTTGGCGAAATTTCTACGCGTGCGGAAAACGTGCTGAAAAAGCATCATAAAAAACGTCCCGAAACGCCGGGAAAATATGAACAAAATCGTATTTAAAATTATCCAAACGAAAGTTCCGTTTTCGAATCACTCATATGTGTACGAAAAGAATTTTTCCGTTATAAAGTAATTTTTTAGGGTATTCGGAAAATCAACGTATTTTTAATCCCATAAAAACTATAACGCTCCGTTATTGAGTTTGACCGCACTCCGTTCATTTTTCACACCCCGACTTGGTGCACTTGTATTCCACGGTAATCTCCCGAACGGTTTTCGGTCGTTATGCCGGCGAAAATCGCAAACGCCGCGCGCTGAAAAGTCATTTTTGTCCATCGGACCGTGGCGCCCACGTCGAGAGGACAGAAAAGACGGCGATTTGTGTCACAGCGGGTCGCGACTTTTGAAAGTCCGACCGCGCGTTTTCTCGTCCGGCGCCGCATTTTCCGAAAACTTTAAGGCTTACGTCTGAGTCTCGGCCCGTCGGCTTTCTAAAAATCTCACGTTGCCCCTATTCCCTCGTCCCTCGCCCCTCGTACGGCGAATAAGATTCGTCCGGCTCGTATGCCGCTGACGTTTACTACAACGTTATCAACGTCATCGAACGGGAATGATTAAATATGCGATCGACAACTGCATTCTGACTTTTGTCGGGTTCGTTGATATTCGGGGCCCGTTACTTTTAGCGTGGATACGTTTAGCTACTTTAAGCATACTAAAAGACTAGGAAGCGATTTAAAAAAAAAAAAGAGACGTCCCAGTATAACGGGGACGGATGCACCTACTGTTCTGGATAGTTTAATGTACAGCTGTAAGCAACGACAAACCATTGCCTTCGAAAAAATAATTCTGAGCGGAGTTCAGTTGATAGTGATGCTGCTTTGTCAACAATAAATTAGTCATTTTATTGTAATACAAATTAAATAGGACTTTTTTGTTTTCTTTAATAATATTTGTTTAATGTTGTAACGGTTTTTCCAGTTTCCCTACGTTTTCCCCGGGGTTTTCCCATGTTTTATACCGGTTTTTCGAACTTGGTGAGAAAAATTTTGAGAAAATCGAAAAACGACCGCCATAAAGTACCCCCCACACCGATTTCATTTCAGAAAAGGTGCCACTCACTTAGAAATCCGAGCAGGTCTTCTGGTAGAAAAGTTGTCGACAGATAAAAAAAAAAAAAATAAATACATAAACATCTTTGTAAAACCATAAGCTTATTCGCTCCACTCAGAAGTTAAAAAATTCTGCCAAGGAGCGCTCGTCTTTGAAAAATGACGTATAATTGGTATTTTCGCCCTAAAATCGACCGGGGAGTCGAGCGAAATCGTTGAAGTGCGAAATGTACGTTTCACGTTGTTACGTTACCCGTCAGACATCTTATATAACCTCTTTTAAGTACCTACCTAACAACACTTTATCGCGGTACATCGTAGATGGAACTTACCGTGCTTGATTCAAGGCGGTGCTCGAGTCGGAAGATTGTGGCGTACGTGGATAGACTACACAGCGTTTTAAACGTAATATTTTAACGAATTTCTTTTTTTATATATATATTTAATTATGTGAAATATTACACGCAAAATCAAAGTGAAATATAATAATAATATTTCATTTTGAAAAAAGGTTTTCGCGTGCACATATGCACGGGGTACTCGTAGAAACTTTTCGGAAAGTTATCGAATTATTTCTAGAAGTTTTTCCGACCGAAAACTTGTAATACAGTTATTATATTATACACTTTGGACGGTTAGAGACTATTACGGTATAATTCATTCTGATTGTGTATAAACGGACGTATCACGTATATAATATTTTAAACATATTATAACTGTAACAGAACACATAATTTTTTTTCTCTCTCTGCCCCGATCAAATTTCTCTTTCCAAAACTTCCGTCTATATGTGTAATGTATATATATTATTAATATTATATTCGTATCTATAAAATAAAATTTTAAATATTTGTATGCATACGTTTATAGTTAATTAACAGTTTTTACTGTTTATTTCGACATCGTGCACCTAACTTTTTAGAACGTGTTCAATATCGCGGTTTACGCGATTACGTTCGATTAATACCGGCTAGTGTGTACGGCAGTCGATTCAATTGAACTTCATTAATAAACACAATGTACAAGATAAAGGAAAACCGTATTTGTTTGTTAATTAAATGACAATTAAAAACACGTCCTAGGATAATGGGAACGGGTGCAGTCACTTTCGTAGGTAATTTAATGTGTATCCGCTGTAAACAACGACCGACCATTGCTAACGAATATACGATTCTGAGCAGCGTTCACTTGATGCTGTGTCGACAATATATGTGTCATATATATATATAAGGAAAATAATTAAACAGGCTTTATATATTTTCTTCAGAAATATTTGTATAATGTTACAACGATATTCCCAGTTTTCTTGCGTTTTTCCCGGTTTTCTTATGTTTTATCTCGGATTTTCACTTTTGCTGGGAAAACCCTTAGGACAATCGAAAAATTACCTCGTTTAGGTACCTTTCTAGTCAAATTTTCTTTCAGAACAATTGCAATCATTATAAAACACAGCTTGTAGAAAAATGATTTACAGGGAAAAAGAGACCGTATTTTTCACATTTGATGGGAGAACTTTTGATAAAATCGAAAAATCACTCTCTTAAATTATCTCCCCACAACAATTATATTAAAGAAAAAGTTCCACGCTTCAAAATCGGAGCAAGACCTCTGGTAGAAAAGTTGAAAAAAAAAATTAATATCTTTGGTAAAATCATAAACTTCTTCGCTCCACTACGAATCTAAAAAAACCAAACGACGGACTCCCGATCAGCAGCGAGTAAGTGTTATTGGTTTATTATAATTTGATTGTATATACAGCGCAGTACTTTTTAAAACGACGAAATGAAAAGTAATTATTCACAATAATTATACGACTAACACAATAGTATGAATACAGATTATTTCCATGATCGGATTCTCGGTTTCCCTCTACACATTCTCGCTTAAAATATCAAACTACTCTGTTGTGTTTTTTTCAAAGCATAAATCGAAATTTATACCGTGGCATTAAATACATAAAAAAAAAAAAAAAAAAAAAAAAAAAAAAGAGAATATAAAAGTCGTTAAACTTTTTTTCCGCAATGAATAAATATTATATAAATATTATAATAATTGGCCTATTTAGCTAATTTCTCGGTGCATAATAGACCTGTAAAAATAACGATATGACACTCTTCGTGCCTGCACCGCAGCAATACTCGCAACGATATGGATTGCACGGGACACAATTTTTTTTTCGCATTAACCTAAATTGCTAAAAATAAAACCACTTCATGGCCGCGTGTAAAAGACAGCGTTATATGATACGACTGTATAAATATTATATCAATACGCGGTCTGCAATGGCCTGTTTAGGATTTTGTTAAACACGGATGGATATTGAGTTGGAAATCGTGTTACATTATATTATAGCGTGTACCCAGGCAAAAAAAAAATGCATATAATTTTTATAATTTGAATATTATTTTTGTTAGTAATTTATAATTTATCGTATACAAAAAAAACATCGTTTAAAACCTTTTTATGCACAATGGAATCGAATCGTATGATACCGCTGAATTGTAATACTTGTATTTTTTTTTTTTTAATATTGCACGATGGTATCATACAATGGTACCACATACTAAAATCTTGTTTTAGGTAAGGCAAAACAAAAAAAAAAAAACTGTTTTTTTTTTATTTTTCCCAATATCAACAGCTATTGAGCAATTTGATTCTCAATTCATAGTCATTCTATTTTTAAGAAAAAATCTCATGCACAAAGAGTTTAAACGAATATTATACAAATTAGATATATACTATAGTAATTATTATTATTTTATTTACTGCTATGGTTTAGTTTGAAACAAGAAATTGTATTCGTTAGTAGGTGTTTTTCGATATATTAGTACAGTTTTTTAATTTTTTCTACTTCAAGTAAGTCTAAGAATTTCAATTTAAAAACGATACGTTGATTAAGTTGATAATGGGGTATACCATATTTATTTTTTGTTTTCGTTTGCCATTACGTCATCGATGTTGTAAACGTGTTACACAATTATTTATTTACCACCGGTGAGCAACGAAAAAACGGATTAGCAGATTCCGTTTGCGTCCGTGGCTCCAGCAGGCGGGGAACGTTAAACATTTCGTCGGCCGTCGGCGAGTCTCGAAAAACGATACGAGAACGCAAAATTATTCTCTCGTACGAATAACATTTTGCCGGGCTATCGGAGCGGATTGATTTCGTTCGTTCAGGTATTTCGTACGCGAAAAAAAAATGGGTAATAAAAAAAAAAAAAAAAACATGTGCGTGTGACGCGTTAAAACGAATCATTTACCGTTGAAAATCGTCGGCGAGACGTCCGGTTAATTTTTTTTCTCGCGATGCCATTCAAAGAGACCTCGTCGGCGGCGGCGATAATAAAATTAATAAGGAGAATGATATAATAATTCATCTGTGTACCGTCGCCGTCGCCGCCACCGCCGCCGGTCAACAGCGGCAGTCGAAATAATTATATGAAATAGTAAAAAAAAATATATGTGTATATAGAAAAAAGGAAACGACAACAAAAAAAAAAAAAAAAAAAACGATTTAACGAACTACGCGACTATATACGGCGGGCGACGACGGTGCGAAAAAAAAAAACCCGTTCGGGTGACGTTTTAATTTATAGTCGCGCGAGTTATCTCCGACCACCAGACGGCTGCTGCTGCTGCTGGTCTCTGTATTTTTTTTTTCGCTCCGTCTCTCTCTCCGGTTCGTCTCGCGTTAAATTATCATCGTTATTATTGTTGCGTACGCGTCACGACGAAATTAAACTGTTTTTCTATAGGCAGGTGTACCCCACCCACGCGCGACTTTATTACTATTACAGTAGTATCTATTCTGTTGTTGTTGTTATTATTAATATTATTTTTTTTTAATTTTTCGTATTCCATACCGACCGCGCGGAAAAAAACGACCGGACCGATTAGCCGCGACAAGCGCGGGCGGGCCGCGCAGCCAGATAGTCGCCGGTGTTGGCCCGGTGATTCGTACGCATTTGCGCGTTTCCTTCACAACGGTCCGAAACGTTTGCCGGACAAGTCGCGAGTTTCAATTAACATGGTCAAACGGTCAATTAGATCCGATAAGTTTCGTTTCGCATAATTATGCGTACGTTGCGATGTTTCGGTGCGTGTACGTACGCGCGCGTTTCTGCATTTTACGATTTCCCATCGCGTTATGGCCGGATACCCACGGCGTTGTTTCATACCCGTTTGGTTTAACTGCAATAATTGTTCGCCGGTTTCACCCGCATATTACACCCAACGGTTCGTACGGAATGCGTTTGCTATTTGATATTGTTTAACATTTTTATTACATTTCCGTTACACATTAATTATTTAACGAATCGCGCACATTTTAAAACCGAATAAAACTCGCGTGCATTTTTTTTCCGCGTGTCCTTGCACATTTTAAACGCATATTTGAACGATAATCGGCGCCCGTTTTTTAGTGCACGCCATTCCGGGCCCTAGCAATAACAATGTTTCAACGCGTACAGCTGCCGTACGTTATCGTACGCGGCGTATCTGACGTCATAATCGTTTCGCGTAGTCACAATAAAATAGCCGGTGACGACGGCGATGCGAAATTGTTTGTTTTCTTCTCCGACTGCCTAGTACCTATAAAGTATATCGCATAACGCGCGCGTGTGCGAGTGTGTGCATTTATTTATTTTTTATTTTTTTTTTTTTTTTTTTTTTTACCCTACGAAAAACGTAACGGCGCTCAGGGGTGCTATATAATTTTATAACACCGCGTTTATATTATATATATATATATATATATAAATATATACGGTTTTAATTATTAATTCCGCGCCCCCCGTATTCCCAAAGCTCGAATAGTTTAAAAAAAAAAAAAAACAAATGAAGTTTCATTTTTTCGGGGGGTTTTTATGTCGTGACAACGACGCGTCGTTTTTAACGTAGTTAAACTTTTAAATTTCGTGTACACATACAACAGATACGCGCCCAAGCTTTTAACTCTTTTTTTTTTTCTAAATAGTGGACCCGACTGATGTCATTAAACAATGGGACCGGATAGGACCGAACAGGCTCTTAATTATTGAAAAAAACACAATAGTAAATAATTGTTTATAAATAACGTGAACAACTAACAGTAATACTATTATACGTACTGTCTTTTGTAGTTTTGTGCGCTCATTAAAAAGGCGAATAATTACAAAAAAATTGAAAAAAAAAGTGAACATTTTAGGATATCACGTTTAATGCACGTTGAGGTATTATTTGTGAACGCGATGTTCGCGTTGCGCGGGAAGCCGAACTATTAGAATGAAATCATTGAAAAAAAAAAATAATAACAATATCGTAAGTTTACCCGGCGGGTACTGCACTGCCAGCCACGACGACTACTCGGATTTTCAGATTTTGTTTAAAGCACTCGGTTTAAAAACTTAACCAACTCCCCTTCACCCCACCCCTCGCCGCCGCCGACAATGTCTACCGTAATCTCGGGCACGGCGTCAAACGAAACTGCTGCGTGTACTTACTCGCGGTAATAACACCGCTCGGATGGTGGTGTTTAAATATGGAAAACCGAACCGGGAATCGTCGAAATATAACGTCGGCGACAATTTTGTCACGGCGAACGGATTCGTGCTTGACGGTTATTTTGGACGGCCCGAACAATGTCGATGAAAAAAACATACGGTGCGCGGCCATCGCCGTTTTACCGTAATACAGAGCGGGTTTACTGCACAATAATATTACGAATAGATTAGGCGAACACAGAACAGCGCGGTCACGATCTAGTGCGGACGTCGCAGTGTTTGCCGCGGCGACGCGCGTCGATTTAACGTATACGAAATTTGATATTTCCGGGGATCCGTTCCGGGTTCGAAATTTCTCTTTAAACCGCCGCATCATCCGATCGGTTGCCCCGGGGATTTAGAAACGCGTCAACACGTTCGAAACGCAACACGCAACGAATCGCGGAAATAAATACCCTCGTTGTCCATCCAACGTAAACGCCAACAATCGCACGCGTAACACCGTTCGGTGACCTGCGCCCGTTCGGCCCCGTACAGGTCGTCGGACGGTTCTCCTCGGGACCGGTACTCCGTTGATTTCAATCGTATCGGTTGCCAGGTCGCGTTTAACCGGCCCCGTGTACGCGCCACGTTTCCGGTACACGGTACGCGTATAAACATGCGCGGTGTACGCGCGCATATTAGGGCGGTCCGCCCTGTTACGCGCGTGCGCGCGCGCGCCGTCGGAACCCGCGTTCGAAAAGTGCGGGCGAAACGTACGAGAACCGCGCGCGCGCGCGCACGATGTTCACGCGATCGCGCGGACGGACGTTGCGCGCCGGAAACCGCCGGTACAACGCTCGCGCGTCGCGCGTCACGCGTGACAAATGCGCGCTTCGAAACGTCGGTTACCGATCGCGCGGCCGCCGCCGATTCGAATGACGGAGAAAATGTCCCGCGCGAGTAACCGGCATGGCAACGCGCAATAATCGGCGCGCGCGCGTATTCATTCGCGGGTTATCCGAACGCGGACCGTCCGGCCGGACAAACGACGGGGAAAAACGCCGCGGGTGTCTGTTGCGCGTACCGTTTCACGCGGAATATATCGTTTCCGAATCCCCATCGGCGCGTACCACGGTCACGTTTTTTTTTTGTTTTTTTTTTTTCGCGACGTCCACTTTTGTACGACATTATTTTACCCGATCGCGCGTCGCGTTGTTACGGTCGCCGTCGTGTGCGTGTGCGCCACAACTTCCGCGCGGCTATTTATAGTTTCGATTTCGTCTCGGGTTTTCCGGCACGCGATTTTTTCGAAAATTCGCGTAAAACCGTATACCGGGACGCGGGGGTTTTTTTTCTTTCACCCCTACCCACCCGACCCGATTAAACATCATTACTTGTTACGCGGGACGCGGCGTGAAATATTCAAATTTATTCCGCGCGTATTGCGATTATTATACCTGTACGTTCGCATTTAAAAGTCCCGGACAACAACAGTCACGCGTGTAATACTACGTTGTCGGTATAAATGGGTTTTGAAACAATATGAAAATTTAATTTATGGAAATGGACGGCGACCGCTTTTAAAACGTATTAACTATGAATGCGCGCGGCCCGAAAGAAAGATACTGTTCTATTATACAACGGCGGACCGCGTAAACGCGCGGACGATTCCGTTTTTCCGCCGAAACGACCTTTGCGGACGGGCGGGGGGGGGGGGGGGCGGGCCGGTTTTTCGGTCAAAAAACGATAACGCATTAACGGCCGAAATATATTTACGGTTTCCGTTTCGGGCGCGGCGCGGATAACGGCCGAGTTTAGTAAATTAAACATTTCAAGAAAGGTCGCGCGGACGATACCCGCGTGTTTTTAGTTTTTTTATTTTGTTTTTCGCGTCTAACTCCGCCGTCACAACATTCCAGAAACGAAAAAATAACGCGATAATCGCGTAAAAAAAAAAAAAAAAAAAAGACGTCCTAGGATAATGTGAACGGGTGCAGCCACTGTTATAGGTAATTTAATGTGTGTGCATGTAAGCAACGATAAACCGTTGCTTACGAAAAAACGATTCGGAGTCAAGTTGATGGTGATGCCCTCTGTCAGTATTGTACCGATCTCCGCGATTTTCTCATGTTTTTTCCTAGTTTCTCACATTTGCTGAGAAAACTCGGGGGAAAATCGAAAAACCACCTCTTCAAAGTACTTCCCCGATGAAATTTCCTTTTGGAAAATTCGCTATCGTTATAAGTTGGAGCAAAATGTTTGTAAAACCATAATATAAGCCCCTTTGCTCCACTCAGAATCTAAAAACCAAACAAAATGATACTCTATAAATAATGTATCGTTTTTCGAGTACGGATATACAGCTGATATTGTGTTTTAATAAGTATCTATAAGAATACTTTTAAATCGTTTTTCATTGTTTTCGGCTTTTTTTTCCATATTCGTTAAAATTGGGTTTTTTTTAATCGTAAATAATTTTCAAAACATTTTAAGTAACATGCGCAAAATAATTACCACGGGCGAGTGGTGGCGTGTTATACGATTTCGTTTTGATCTGTGGTGTTCTATGGGAGGAGGAGGAGGGGAAGGGGCTTTAGTCATCTACGGCCTGTCGGCGTGTTAAAACGCAAAAAAACCATACGAGATATTCGGTATTGAAAACCCATGACTAACAACAAAGCAATAATCTTTGACATTCGTACATAACTTACACCATGTGTACCGAGTACGAATAATTTCGGTTCGGTGGTTAACCTTCACGATTGCGTACTTTGCGAGAAAAACATTTTACAATAGATTTGGACATATGTCGCGTGTATTTATAACACGATATTGCATTATAGTCCGTTCCCATTACGAAAAAACGTCTCGGCGACTATATCGTAAAATTAAAAAAAAAAAAAAAATCAAATCATCTCGAGTTTGTAAAAACGAATGACGGTACCGGAGCCGCGAAAAGACGTCCGGAGACCTTTGAACGGTGCCCCGATCGTTAAGATTACGGAAAGCGGCTCAAGTGCCGACGACGACGCGAGCGCATAAATATAAAAGAAGAAAATACGTTTAAAACGTCAGTAACGCTGCGCACTAATAAACGCACGGAGTGCTTTTAAATATAAGCGACGACTCGGGTCGACTGCGAACGGCAATGTATAGTTATATGGGTATATTTAATATAAGGTATTAAATTAAAAACAAACTCGACAAACAGAGTTCGAATCACGGTGTACATTATATGACATTATAATACCGTAGCAATCGGTCGAATGATTGAGAAAAAAAAAACAAAAACAAAATAAACGATTCCGAGTCGAGCTCTTTTTAACCGAGTCGACAAGCTATTTACGGAGTAGAATTTATCCCCGCGTCCGAGGGGACATGTAGGGGAAATATAAGAGATGGAAATCGATGAAAAATGTTCGGAAAAAACTGCCGGGAATCCGATAAGTACTGCCGGGAGAAAAAATACCGCGTACAAAAGACGACTAAAAGAATATTATTGAATATTATAGGGAAAAATTCATTATTTCTACGACTACCCGGTAATATTTCTATTACTAGGACTAGCCTTTTTGATTTCCAAACGATTTCGGCATTTTGTATAATTATTGTGACCATTGACGTAGAAGCACTTGAAGCGCCGTGTTAATTTTTACGATTTTTCTTCTCCCGCCCGTTTGAAAAAACTCCAGGACGGTTTCTAAAATAATATCAGTCCAATAAAGACTGTATAGTTTATAATATTATGTATAGATTGCAATTACAGGCAGATCTGACGCCCAAAATGACTTTAGTTCCCTTCGATATTTCGGAGTATTTTTTTTTTTTCACTAAAAACATCATTTTTTTTTACCTGACATAACTATTTCTATGTCAATATATATTTCGTTTAATGATGTATATGATGTATAGTTAATTTTCTAGAAACGTTTACAGTTAACTAACGACATTAACAAAATTATTTTTACGTCGACAATTTGGCGAATCGATTGACATGGCTTAGTGGGGGAGGGGGGGGGAAATGAAAACAATTCATCAAACGTTTACTTTCAAACAATATTTTAGACAATTCGCCAATTGGTTCATGATTCGCAAATGATTTCGGCACCAAAGTTTTGTTTCAAAATGCATTTATTGTGTAATACCGTTGTCTCCGATTCGGTTAAAACGACGTTTTAAAATATTAAAATTTTTTTATTTTCAGTCTTGAAAACGACTATAAAATAGAGGAATCATAGCGCGAGAGGGCTTTACAGTGAACCATCGCAAATAACTATTCGCATTCTAACAGAACACGAGTTATTTTAAGACGGCGGAACTCCGTGTTGTATATAGCCTGTTTGTATACACACATTATAATACTAGTGATGATTACTGTAGTCACAGACGCACACATAAAACGACCGTATAAAGTGCGCGGTGTATGTTTTATGCGACAGCATTAAAACGGTCTGTAACTAAAACTCAAACTTATTCTCGTCGTGTAAACGGTTTAAAACGGTTTAAAAACATCGTACCGTTTCCGAAACTAAAACATTCGCAACTACGTAGGAGGCAGTTTAAGAGATAAAAACCGTTCCGAGCGTTTAAAACACGGTTGGTCGTACGAACATCATGGCATTCAGTAAACACGTTTTCTAAACCGTTTTTCATTCAATCGGTTTGTGCGCGGCGTGGTCAATAATAATTGCTTATTACGAGTCGCATTATAAACAACTACGTCTCGATTTTTTTTTTTTATTCACATTCCATTAAATCCATCCACTTCCAAAATATTAAACAAAAATGTACAGAAATATTATTGGCCTACACAACCGTCAAGACCTGCAACAAATATCTAAGTGATCGAATATCTAAAAAGACGTCCTTGGATAATGGGAACGGGTGCAGCCGTTTTTATAGGTAATTTACGGTATACCTGTAAGCAACGGTACACACCATTGGTTTCGAAAAAAAAAAACGGAGTTCAGTTGTTACAGTGATGCTACGTGTCAATAGTTTATATTGTATATGTGTCACACAAAAGTAAAATAACTAAATAGTAGAGGCTTTCTATATTTTCTTCAATGATATTTGTTTAGTGGTGTACCGATTATCCCGGTTTTTCACATTGCCGGGGAAAACTGATAAAATCGAAAAACCGCCTATTTATAATGTACCTCGCCCCCCCCCCTCCACACATACACGCACACACACACACGCACACACACACACACATCGAATTACGTTCGGAGAAAGTGCTACACTTAAAAACGGTCTTCCGGTAGAAGAGTAGCGGCGCAAATAAAGAAAAAAAAAAAAAAAAACCCGTAAGCTTCTTCGCTCCGCTCCGAAACGAAAACGTACATTTTCCCCCGCCTTCTTGGAAATAACGCGGGGATTTAATCAAATCTAAATGCGGCGAACGTCTCGAACGCGCTTGATCCGGCGGTGGCGCGCTCGGGGTTTCTCGACGGGCGAGGATACGGCCGATTAACGATCGAATCCGACAGCGTTGATATTAAAAAAAAAGCCGGACGGACGGACGGAACGAAACCCGGCGCCAGAGCCGAGACGCCGAACCGACGACCGAGATTCCGAACATTCCGGAACCGACATTCCGAGGACGGGGACCGAGAACCGTAACGCGAAATGTCGCGTTACCCGGAACCGTTCCGGTTCCCCGCGCGCTCGCGCACTACTCCGCGGACGCGGAATTCCGCTCCGACCGTTACCACGATTGCGCCGCGGCCGCCGTCCGGTGGGGGGGGGGAGGGGGGAGGCCGCGCGCTCGATTCGGCCCGGGGGGCGCGCACGTTACCGGCGGACCCGCGAACGAACCGACGCGATACGCGCGTCGTTTTGCACGCGGCACATTCGGTACGCGGCGCTCGTTCGCCGTCGGCCGGTCGATTAGCGCGTCGACCGTGTGTTCGATATCCGCGGTCCCTGCGCGTGTTTCGCGCATCCGTTGTTTTTTGTTTTTTTTTTTTTTTCCTCCTAAACATCCCGTCGTAACGGAACGCCGGGAAACATACGCTAATTCCCGATACCGTCGCCGTGTTTCACGTCCGCGGAAAAAAACCGTTCGCTCTCATCCGTCCGCGTTCGGTTACGCACCCGGTATACTATGCGCGATAATATCGTGCGGACGAAACGTTTCGACGTTGTTGGCGCCGGTCGTGTTTTTTTACGGCCTCGTCCGTATAATTTGTACCGCGATGTAAAAATATTAAAAAAAAAAAAAAAAAAAAAAAAAAAAAAAATGTTGTTGGTTTCTTTTTTTCTTTATTATTATTATTATTATTTGTTATTTGCATTATACGCCACCAGCCACCCCCGTCGTCATCGCGGACTCGCATAATGGAACGGGATTTTTTTTTTTTTTTTATATTAAAATAAAATTCCACTTCCTCGTATAATATTTTTGTGCAACACACGGCTCCGAAGCGCGTTCGAAACGGTTCCCCTCCCGGTTCGGCTCGAACGGTGTCGACAGCTGGCGATCGGAAGCGGTTAAAACCGCGTCCCGAGCGTGTAAACTCGCGTTTTTGTAATATTATTAGTTAGTTTCGTCGCATCATATAACTGTTATTATAGATATTATTGCGTTTCAAATAATAATCTTTGTAACGCGATTGTGCGCCGTGCTGTACGGACGTGGGGAAAAAAAAACCATTACGATTGCATTCCGGTATACATAAAAGGCAACAACTCGAAAAAAGTATTTGTTTTACGGGAGAACGATTTGGAATATCAGCGAATATTTCGGTAGACAGTATAAAACATGAAACGAATTAGGGAACGAAATACGGTTTTTCGATTTTGCCATTATTTTGTGTTCGCGCCGTTACCCGTATCACATCAGCGAATGGTTAATAATCGCAACAGGTATACTTGCTCCGGTGGTGTATCCAGGGGGGTTTTGTGTGTTTAATCTTCCCCCGCCCCCTCCGTAGCTTTCCTTCACATATTTTAACGGAATGAAATGTATGCTTATAGCTGTCGTGGACTATTTTACCCATTTACTTCTAACGGGTTATGGCATTTTTTTTTTATTCAAATATGAATATATACACTTTTATCTAGTATTTGAAACTAGATCACAGTGCGCGGCGAACGTTGTGCACGGAAATTTGTTATATTTTATTGCTACGCAATAAAAAAGATTATTATTTTTAGTTCAGTTGCGCCCTTAACTCAGAATTTTTAAAAAATGTCACTTATTCCCCGGGTGTTCTACACAAAGGCGATTTTATAGGCATTTCAAGTTTTTAAAATGTTCGTTTGGTTTTATGTGCGTGCAATTATTTTTGCCGAATGAAATTGCTTGAATATTCAGCCCGAGGTTCATTTTAATTTGTACTGAAATAGTAGTAGTAAAAAAAAAAAAAAAAAAACCAATTTATTTAGTAGTTTATTTTTTCCTATAAGCGTTAAAGTTCAAATTTTGACGGACCTCGTAATGATCGTGACATTTCGAAACGTGTTTAACCGGACTTGGCTCGGAATCGGTTTTTTAATAATCCGAAAATCGTTTTTACACCGCGAACGAACGAACGCGATTTTCAAGGCAGCGGTGGTGGCAATTGTGTCCGACGGAACATAATAGTACACTCTTCTGACGGGATAGTGTCGGATGTTGAGACGGGGCCGCCGGCGAACGAGCGGCGAATCACACGAAACCGCATGGCCGCTGTCGGGGCCGTTTTGCGTTCGGTTTAACACACGCGTACAGAGTCACGATAGCGCAGCGATCGCGGCGTCGGGTCGGCGGGCGGGCCGGTAGTGCGGGGCGGGTAGGAGGATAAGGACAGTAAGGTAAACAAAAAGACATTGACACGGCCGTGGGTAGAGGGAGCAGTCGCGATATCGCATGAGAGCTTCGCACGCGCGCGTTATTATTGCCGTACGGATGCGAGAGTCAAACACCAGATATTATAATATCTATGTTCGCGCGACCGGGCGACGAAAGAAAATCAAAAAAGTCGTTATACTTTTCTTGTGCGCGTACGTATATAAAAAAAAAAAAAAAAAAGGAAACGAACGAAACGCGTACGGCGCCGTCGCGTAACGCGTCGCTTGCATTGATCGCGGTATCGCTTGCGCGCGTACTCGTTTACGTTGTTATTTCATTTACCTGTGCCGGTAATGTCTCACCGTTACGCCCGTGTTACCCGACTGTTATCATCGTTGTTATTTCCATTAAGTGCCGTCGTTCGGCGCGCGATTGATACCGACGCGCGTACGCTCCGGGTTCGATAACGACAGAGAAAAAAAAAAAAAAACCGTTATAGTCGCGACGGAAAAACGGCCGATACGGACCGGAGTCGTTATGTACCGACGACGACGACGACGACGGCGGCGGGCGGGGCCTTCCCCCCACCCCCTTCGCCGCGAACCGCGTCCGACCGGCAGCGGAACGTATATCGCCGATCGGACGTACAAAAGATGCGCGCTTTCGCAACGGCGTTGTGAAATCAAAAAAAAGAGATGCCCCGGGTTAATGGCGTACGCGCGCGCGACCGCCGTTACGAGTAATTCAACGCGTGGCGACGTAAGCGACGATGTACCGGTGCCGGCGAGAAAACGATTCTGAGCGCAGTTCGGTCGACAGCGATTGGAGAAATTCGACGGAAATCGAAAAATCACCTCTTTGAAGCGCCTTTCCGGTCAGACTGACTTTCGGGAAAAACGCTATCGGAACAAAATTGTTGGTATAAAAGTTTTCTACGGAAAAAAAAAAAAAAAAAAACCGTGACATTTTAATAATATATTTTGTACATTGTCCCGTTTTTTCTCCGGTTTTCACGAATTTTCGCATTTATTGAGAAAACTCCCGGGAAGATTTTTCTCCATTACGCTACTGCCGCACATTGGTTCAAAATTGAAAAAAGGTGACCAAAAGCGATTTTTGAAAATATTCAAAAAATTGCAAATCATTGTGTAAAAATACTTTCCATGTCTATTTAGGTATTTGAAAATGTCTAACCTAATCAAATAAAGTAGCTTTTTAATTTTCAAATTTATTTTTGAAAAAAAAAAAAAATTGTTAGGCCTTTAAAATTATGTTAGTAGTTTCGGTAATACTTTGTAAGTTTTTGTACGCTATAATAAAATACTATGGGAATACAATTAACATCGGGGTTTTTTTTTATTATTATTTAACGGTACACATTCTGTTAGAGTATTTATCATCATTATTACAGAAGCATCGTATCTGCACTATTAACGACTGTAGTCGTAACAAATCAATACTCTTTGCATGTTAAACACGTACGATTTCAAACAGTTCTTTCGCCGACCTACTCGCCAATATGTGAATTTCGGTGAATGTACGGCGGTGTCGACACAGGGTCTTGATGGGCAGCCCATATTCGCCCCCATATTATTGAATAAGTAGTGATTGAATTGTAATAGAGCGCGATCGAAACAGCGAACGAAATCGCTGTGTGCGCCGCGCGTCCGGTGTCCGTTTATTCACCGCGCGGGCTGCATACTAACCTACTGCGACGAGCCGTCCGAATGTCCATGAGAATATTACGGCATTAGTGATAATGACGAAATGTATATTTTAATTTTCCCACGATAAAAACACGCACGGGTAAAATAAACAAATTGTCGAGTAGAAAATCGTTTTAGAGATGCGCGCAACTGTATTTTGTAAACCGTTTCGGAAATCTGCACAGTACCGTAATTTCGGGTTTTCGCCCCTTCCTCCCCCCTCCGCCACCACTGGTTTTTTATTTTTTCCGATTTCCGACCGCCGTCCGCGTCGCGTCACAATCGCTCGAACTTCATAGCGTTGCGCGGTTTTACGGTAACTATGATCGTACGCCATTGCGTTCTCCGGACACGCGACACACATGTCGTCCACGGCGATTGGATTTTATGCCGGCGGCCGCGTCGAATCGGACGCGATATTCGCGCCGCGCGGCGAAAAACCGTTTCCGACCAATGAGGAACGACGTGCACGCCGGCGCGATAGGCGTGGTGCGGTCGCGCACGGACCAGAACACGTACCGCGTTGTTTTCGTGCGCCTTCGTATCAATTTCGTCGCGGTTATAACATATCAGGTTGTATCAGGTGTACGATAATGGTTGGCGCGGCGTGCAGGCATTCGTGACGGCCACAGAGTGTTTCCGACTGTAGTGAAAATGGTTTTGCGAAAACGCGCGATACGAAAAAAAAAAAAAAATCGAAAAGGTACGCGAAAAACGAATAAAACGCGATCTCCCGTCTCGTTTTCAATTCCTTAATGAAAACCCGAAAACCGTTTTATTGCTGTCGACAAACGCCGCAATATTATCTGTGTACTAATCGCAGTATATTTTTATAGCATATTATGGCGGACATTTTATTATTATACGCCTTCGACACCTTTTGCCCATAACGAAAAAATCGACGTTTACCCCACCGTCCCATAAAAATTCATTGATTTATCATAAAAAAAATGGCAATTCGATATTTGTACGACAGATTAAAAAGGTTTTTTGTTGTTAAACTAAACATTAAGTACAACCTCGCGCCCTCGCGTCGTTTTTTGTCTTTTGAAATTTAAACGATTGGCCACACTGAACATATTTGTAAAAACTGACTACCATCAATGCCATATACGTGATAATTTCATCCCGCAGCTCTTCGGGTAAGCGTCGTGGTTATTGAAACCGCGTGTTTAGTCGTATACGTACGGGTAGTACGTTGGTACATAGGTATACGACGTTAAAATGTTCTTTATCGAGCACGACAAACCGCAAAAACCATAATAATTGTGTAACACGCAGACACGCAATGAAAAGCAGTTGTCTGCCAACAGGACGTGAGCGAATTTCCGTTTAATGTAAAAGTTTAAATATACCTACGAGTAAAAATTTCATTTTTGGGACCATTCAAATTTCCGTTTTAATTTTATCTCACTTATTATGATATTATTATCACTCACGTTTTTTCCGCTGCTAGGTCGGCCGCGTCTATAAACTATGTATATTATTACGAGTCGGTCCGTTGTACATACCTGAAAGATAATAAAAAAAAAAAAAAAACAGGATATTAGAAAAGAGTTTTCAATATTATGCGATTTATATCGATATCAGCGTAAACATAAAATAATATTTTCGTGTTGTATATCGCGCTAGTATTTTTACGCGCGCAAATATATTATGTGAACGGTGTTGAGACGTGCGGCATTGCAAGTCCATTCATCCGGACAATATATGAATAATATTTTGTTTTATCGTTTATCTTATCTAAACGATAATGTCGATGAGGAACGTTGTCTAACGTCTAATCTTTTTGGCAATTATCTAGATAATATGATGTACCCGGATGCCGGACACGAAAAAAAAAAAAATGTTTTAACATGTTTAGTAGACGACAATATTAAATGGACGAATGTGCTTATTGACATATTACTGTTATTTTAAATTCGAAAATAACTTTACAACTACGCATAAATAATAATAAAGCGGATGGAACCCCTTTTGTTTATTGAATTATTTTGAACGCCCCTACTCCCCGTCCGGCTCTTGAATAGCGCTCAGCAGAAACGAAAGGTCGCCGGTGGTATTTTAAAAATCGAGTTTCCACTGTATAATATTATAACTTTATGTACTCGGTACAGAGCTTCGAAGTATCCGATTGTACCCAAAGCGTAGATTTAGCGTAAATAGATTAACGTAAGCACGATCGCCAAGTGTTTTAAACAAGTACCCATACGTTCGAAACGTTGTAAACGAGAAACGATTAAATCGAAATAATTACCTAATGTGTTCTGAAAAATGAATATTTATATATTTTATAAAGCAAAGTTCGTAGTCGTTCTTGAAATGGAGATGAAAATATACGGATATAATACGCACGTGGATGCACAGCCACTGTTGTCGGTGGGAAGTTGGGAAGGCAGGATACAGACGGGAATTCAGTGTATAACTGGAAGCGATAACGATAAACCACTGTTAACGGAAAACCGATTCTTAACGCAGAGTTCATTTGATATAGTGTGGCAGTGTCAAAAGTATATTTGTAAATGTTACGGTTAGATAATTATAACAAAATGCGTTTCCATGACAAGAATGACTGTTTAAAAAAATCTAAATAATAACAAAAAATATAGACGGTTGCCAATGACAACCTTATTTTTAATTTCCAATCTAATTTCACCTAAAGAACAATGTTTTCGTCATTATCCCGGATATTTATGAGAATTTCAAAAAAGACCTACATAAAATACCAAAAAAGGAAATTTGTTTTTCATAAAAGGTGCTATACTTGATAATCGGAGTAAGCTTTCTGGTAGAACAAGTTTTCAAGAGGGAAAAAAAATAATAATTATAATAAACATTATCGTAAAACCAATACAAACTTCGCTAAACTCGGAGTCTAAAATTAAATATTAGAGTACCAAATAGTTTATGCATTTCAATACACGCGTTTTGCTTGACGATATTTTCGTTGTTGTACTTCAGCAGAGTATAATTTAGATATTTACAAGAGTACTACTACGAAGTCGTTTAAAAAATATTACATAGAATTTCGATTTTCGTTTTGGTGTACATAATAAAATATGCTTCATTAAGTACCAACCGAAAGTAATATATTTTACTCGGGTAGTTGTTTCGTATTGTTTTTATGAAATAGATTGTTCCAGATGATAATTTATACGCCTCAAGATATAAAAAAAGCCGATATTGTTGATGAATGTGCCAGTGTTTTACGAGAAGAGTTGGAAGGAAGTATGTATAAAGTAATTCAATGTATGTCTCTACGTAACCGTTAAGCCTTTATTAACGAAAAACGATTCTGGGCGAACAATAATCAATCGTATTTCATAGTCTGAGGGACCCGTAAAATCGACAAAAATTGTACATTTTTTTCCACATTGTATTGAACAAATTACAAGGAAAATCAAAAAATGACGGTTTAAAATCCACCGACTAGATTAAAAATGCTATAAAACATTAAGTATTCATAAAGTTTTCGATTTTTATCAAAATTTTCGATAAAAAGTTGTTTACAGACACGGACGACAAATACATCGTAGTGAAACAATGTTTTTCTTGACGCTACGCTTAGAGTCTAAATTACAGATTAATATTTTTAAGGAAAATGTTTAGAATTTTTCTAGAAAATGTCTAGATATTATTTACATATTCAAACTCGGATTACCGATCTCTGTCACACCGTTTAACTTCCGTTATTACCGGATATTGTCAATGTATATATTAGCCGCAGTGGCAGATCTAGGGATTAGTTGATAGGCACGATTGATCCATCCCCCCTGATCACTCCCAAATCTGCTGTTAGACATAGCTTAGCTCGATACTCACAGTAGGTTACGATCATTTTCAGAAACGCACAAATAACAATTTAACGCTTCGTTAGTGTGTTAGGGTTTAGTAAACCACACGTGATAAGATTATACGTGATATAAATTGTGATCAATCCATAAAAATTATTCCCCCCTATGTAATTCCTTCATTTTATAGTACCTTATGATGCAACACTTATTTGGTAACTTAATAATTATATATTTAGATGAAAACATGTTATAAACTGAGTAATATCAATTCGCGATATCGTTTTTAAAATAAAAATTTAGTTTATTTCATTTATTTTTAAGTTGAAAACAAAAAAGCAATTTTAATTTTAATAAATGACATGCCATAAAAGATATTTTTAGTATAATATAATTTACCAACAAATTATATTTTAGCTAAACGAACATAAAATATACATTAAAAAAAAAAAAAAACAAATTTTGTATACAACATTATTCCTATGTTAACAAATTGTTAGAAAATTAAAATTTTACTAAAAATTGAATTATATCATAGATTTTATTGGTGTTTAAATTTTTGGGTGCAGTTAACCCCGACAAACTAAAGATCCGAAAGTACTAAATAAACGCCCATACGAAACAAGCCCTAGGACAATGAGGACGGGTGCAGCCACTGTTGGGGTTAATTTAATTGACAGTGACGCTTTTTCAACAATAAATATCGTATGCAATACTATGGTAAAATAATTAAATAGATATTACATATTATCATTAATAATATTTGTTTAAAATACCGATTTACCGATCTTACGTATTTTACGTATGCGGCCCGGTGCACGGTTACTCACACACAAATCTCGCACGGTACACAAAAAAAAAAAAATTAAATTTTATAGAATACAATATACATTAACATAGAGTGTATCTGTTACGACCTGAAGAAATCTATTAGGCGGGAGATCGAACTCAAAAACAAAATGCAAGAATGTGGCGAGAAATTGCGCAATATTGTGAAGAACCGCAGGTCGTTTTCGGACGTCGATTATTATGAGACAGTCCCAAATTATGATGCTAGAGCTTAAAGAACAACTGAAATCGATTCATGTTACCGTCCTCAGCTGTGGAACGTCAATCGGACATCGATCGTTGAACCGTGCGGTGGCTTTTCGAATAATTCGTCTCTGTCCGGCGTACACCCGTCGCGGAACTCAAGCTATTGGATCGGCGGATCGTTACTTTTCAAGCGATTACTAACGTCGTATTATATTTTAGTTTTTTCATTATTGCTGCTAGATTATATTTAAAATAATTGTTTTAATCATAATTATTTTCTTTTTACCCATGACAACCAAATTACCATCCGTAATCACCAAGGTAACACTTGAATAAACGATAATAAACAAATTAGCAATTAGATATTCGTACAAACCGAAAAACCCGTATTCCACACCCTTAGGGGTTGAACCTTCAAAAAATCTTTCTTAGCAGATGCTTACGTCATAGTAACTGGTGAGGTATCAGTCAGGACAAGTTATTTTATATGTATAGAAGATGGATAAAAGAGCGCGTAATTTAAACAAATTTACTGTTACCATAAATAAGTTATAATTTACCTGAAAATGTGTTAACTTACTCAGTCATAAATATCGAATTATGTTTCCAGATCGGCTACATTTTAGCTTTGTTATTTTATAAAGATTTTCCTGAACTTAAAAACTAGTTAAACGGATTGGTTATAACTCGCTCCCGCTTTGCTTGTAAATCAAATCTATCACGCCGAAAGAAAACAGGAATCAAATTATATTTATCGTTAAACACGATTTTATTCGGACAAAATTCCAAATAAATCATATCATTTCGAGCAATAAATCCAGTATATTATACACAAACGTAATTTAATATATAGGTACATAAATTTATTTTGATTTATTCGTACTGGGCAGATTACGAAATTCAAAAAAAAAAAAAAAATAAATACATAATAATTATGTTAGAAAACTATTAAAAAAAGGTGCTATTTTTTGATAATCGGATTAAGTTTTCCGGTGGAAAAGTAAAAAAAAAAAATTATAATAAATAACATCATTGTAAAACCAGTGGAGTCCTCGCTTCGCTAAGAATCTGAATTAAATCGCCGTTCCTATTTGTCCTTATAGACAACGAAATAGCCGAGTTTTTTTTCAAATGTTTACAATTAATTATATTATTATATGATATTTACAAAAAAAAAAAAAGTCTAGAAAAAGAGTCTACAACAATGCAAACAATAATACATTTAAAAAAAAGAAAAAAAACACCGCGTACAAGAGTATTCGAAAAGTTTTTCAACCTTCCGTGAGTAAAAAAATATGCAATACACTTATGATGGTACGTTTTAATACAGTTATTTCATAAGGGTTAATGTTGTTTTTTTACATTTTTTTTTTTTCACGACTCGATGTAATAATTTTTTTTTTATTACACTCGGTTCTGTTATCGAATATCAATGTTCACGGTAAACGTTCTGAGAGTGCATACCTTTATAATAATATTACATAATATCACTAACCGCGCGTACGTTAATAATTTGAAAAAAAAAAAAAAAAAAACCAAATTAAATAGCCGCGACGAATTATTTATTATTTCCGTTATAAATTCGCGCCCGAGATTTCGGGTACAGCTGCAAAGCTGTGGGTAGGCGGGCGAAAAAAATTAATTTTTATACGCGTTTTTTCTAAGTTTGCCGCGATGGTTTTTTCGGTTTACGTCGGCGTAGAATATTGTACGGACAAGACGGCGGTTGTAACGACGACACTGACGATAACGCGTGAAGTGTTTCACAATACAGTGTTGTATTGCGATGGTAAGAAGAAAATAAAAAAAAAAAAATCGCTTACTTATGTATAGACGCAATAACATAATGCACGAATTGATTTGAATCAAAATTGTCTACATTCGGTAAGCAACGCTGGTGTTGCCGGTAAGCTGTAGAGAGCTATCAAGGGTTTCATAACGTATGTTGTGTACAATCGACAAGGTTAGACGTAGATATATAAACGAATAAAAACAAAACAAGATACTGATATAAACATCAAGTGTGTACCCGACACACATAAACCGGAGACACGAATAACCGATTAATAACCGATAATTTAGCTGCGTTAGAATTACGCACGAACAGTATTTTTTTTTTTTTTTTTACGATAACAGGCATTGAATTAAAAACAATTAGGCCCGAGGCAGTCCACGAACCGTACTCGTATTTATATATATTTTAAAATATCGAAAATGGTAAAGGCGTTTTAAAAGTCTGAATACCCGTAAAAGGCAGTTGTCCAACGCTATAAAAGTCAATAACACACAGTCATTATTGTTTTTTACAACACGTACAATATTAAATTTTATTTGGACGAAAAAATGACCGGGTCAATGGTTTTTATAGTGTTGAAACATTCTATTTGATAAGTTAGAGCCGTCAGAAGAGAGTGGGGGGGCACTTTTGAACGTCTCTATAAGGGTTTTTTTTGGGGGGGGGGGCTTGTCGACTAGTTTGAGTGGATTTTTTCGCATAGTCACATTCAGTCCCGTTCCCTGGTTGCTATGGAATATTTCACTGGGAACTTTCACGTACGGAACACTTCAAACGTGCACAATTGCACACACCATTTAAAATATTTTGAAAAACACATTTCCGTAAAACGGTATTTCGATTTTATACGGTTTTCCGAATAATTTTGTTCGACTGACCGATCAACTTCGCGCTGATGAACAGCCACCGTGTACAATGTCATCGCCTCGCTGCCGACGCACGTCGTCGATCGGATTGGTGGTCCGAAGAATTTCTCTGTTGCGCGCGCGCCGTCAGACAGAGAAACGAAAGCACGGCGTCCAATTATCGCCACAACGAATTTTTCCGGCGCGAAACGAGCAATGGACGGGGCACACGGAAAAATTGACCGGTGGGGGGTGGGTGGCGGGGTGGTAAAGGGGCGGGGGAATAGGAGGGTAACCGTAGGGTATACGTTACGGCCGACGGCCGTGAAATCGAACCGTCGGTCGGGAGAAATACAGAGGGAACGAAACTATAAGAATCGTCACCGTCGACGCGACACATAATATTATACGCCATACGCAAACCGTATAGGGACGCGGGCGGCGGCGGTGTAAACTGCGTACACGACGATCAAAATAACGAAGTGAAATACTACCGACGCGCGAGCGTGTGCGTGTGTTTTTTTTTTTTTCTTGTCTGTGCACGGTTAGCGTGAAACACGTATTCGAAACATTTTCCGCCCGAGTGGACAACCACATAAATCGAAGAAAATAATTTGACATATTTTCGATAACTTTTCTCCCGCCCACGTTTTCCCCGTGCCGTTTTCCACTCCAGGCAGTTCCGGCCGCGCGCGCGACCCTCACGACGTACGCTCGCGCACGTATACATAAACTCGATGGTGTATTTTCTTTTTTTCTTTTTCCTTTTTTTTTTTACTCGCACTCGCCTAACCCCCACCCCCATACCCCCATCCTCACTTCCTTACAATCGTCCGTCGCGCAACGCGGACATTTTTTTAATCCCGTTACATAACTCCGGACACTACAGAATGTTATACGCGATCTATGCGCTCGGCCGCGATCCGCAGGAAAAAATCGAAAAGAAAAATAATTATGAATCTTGACTCGAAGAATACACGCCGCACAATATTAACCGTTATAAACCGTGGTGCCCGCGCGAAAATCGCCCCTCCCCGCCCGACCGGGTTGTTTGGCGCGATTCGACTTGGAACGGTACGAACGCATTTCGACGCGCGCGAGATTGACGAGCTCTCGCGAATCACCCGACCCACAGAAAGAGAGACGAGACGGAGAATCCGGTCGATCGTCTCCAGACGCTCGTCGTATTATTGTAATACAATGCACGCAGTCATTTTTCACACGGACAAAAAAAAGGCGCGTTACACTATATACCCAAATAAGTATTTCGCGGTTTAATGTGTACAGCGCGTATAGCGAGCGAGTAACCGACTGCGGAACATATCAATTTAAAAAACCGGACTAATAATAATAACTGTGGAAACAACGTGATCCTGACCGCCGTTCAGGAACAATTCATGAGACGACAAATTTTTAAAAAAATTAAATTTTTATCCCGCGGAAAAAAAAAAAAAAAGGCCTAGGATAATGGGGCCGGGTATAGCCACTGTTATAAGTAATTAAATGTACACCTGTAAGCAACGGTAAACCATTGCTAACGAGAAAACGATTCTGAGCGGAGTTCAGTTAATATAGTGATGCTTTGTCAACGATACACGAATCAAATTATGGTAAAATAATTAAACGGGCATTATGTACTTATTTAGTGTATCGATTTTCCCGTTTATCCTAATTTTCTCACGTTTTTTTCCTTATTTTACACATGTTCTGGGAAAACTTTTGAGAAAATCGAAAAATAGTCTCTTTAACGTACCTCCCCAGTACAGTTTCCTTTTGGAAAATTCGCCATCATTTTAAACTGGAACAAGATTTCTGGTAGAAAAGTTGTCCTCCGGAAAAAATAAAAATAAAAATTAAACGAACATCTTTGTACAACCATGTTATGGAACTTCGTTTATTCACTCAGAATTTAAAATTTAAGTCAAATGGATTATTCGAAACGGTTTCCGGGGTTTTAGGAAAAGTAATCGTATTAAAAAATAACGATATTAATTTGACACGTTCGATAAAAGCTTTTTAATTAGATATAATATAAAACAATTCATTTTTCAGTACGCCAATGATTCAATTGTAAGCGCGAAGGGAAATTAATGTACCTAAGTGCAATTAGTTCGACCGTTATCTCGTTGTTTTTTTCTTTTTCTTTTCACCCCAGTGCGATTCGTCTACAAATAGCGTAATTATCGCATCTCGCCGGTAAGTTTATATCGGAATAAAGACATCGCAAACGACGAATGAGCGAACGACCGTAATAATTTATCGTTTTTCATCATTAACTAATGAAACCGTACGGTACACGTCTCGGTGAACGTCTCGACTATGTTACGCTGAGAAACGCGTACGCCTACCCACACGGTCGGTTTTTTCGGCCTCGTGGTAAAAACCAAATGAAAATACCGACTTTGGGGCAAATCCACTTTTTATCGGGGAGCAGACACACTCATACACAACACGCGTGCGTGCACTCTCGCAAAGACGGATGATAATAATAATTGTGTTTATCTTGACGACAAGTAACGGACGTTTCGCACATAGCTATTGTTTTCGTTTCATTGTGTTTTCACAAAACGACTATATACCGCCGCACGTTATTGCTGCCGGCGATAATTCGATTTCGAGGAGCGAAAACGGACGAACGCACGCGGGGAAAAAAACGTCCAGCGCGATATTCCGGAAGCGCCGGCGGTACAGTGTTCTGTTTTACCTGGATGTATGTTTGGTTTTCTTTTTTACCTTTTTTCCTTTTTTTTTTCGTCTTTGGACTTAACCAGATAAACGAGAAATAAGTTGTCCGAGATAAATATTTGAACCGTCCGGATGAATTATTTGTCTAACAGGTACCTCGTAATTTATATATTATGTTTTAACGGTAGAAATAATATCATAGTCGTGCGTATAGGCGTATAGGTGAAACAAATAGTTTTCAACTAATCCGGTTCAATATGATTACATCGATCGCAATCAGGGTTGCGAAAACAAAAGTTTTTTTTTTTCCGTTTAAACGTGTTTTTTTTTTAATTGTAAACAAATTCGTTTCTTTTAAATATTATTTGTTGTGCGTAGCGCATTATAATAATAGTTAATGACGGAATTGTATCCGTAATTGTTAAAGACCACAGTAACAGTCGGATAAATTGTAATTTTTTATATAAACGGATTTTTTTATTTGTATATATATATGTATTAAGAATGAATACAAACTTCATACATATCTTCACTCTTCAGAATATATTAATTATTTATATTAAATCTTTGAACGTATAAATCGTTTCTAGCACGGGGACTCGTTTAAAACACTTTGCAACCGTGATCACATATAATAAACGCTTTGGTGAACGTAGATGCATAGAAAATCGGATACTATTTTAATAATATTAGCACTGAGAATTATAATGGGGTAACGAACAAAATTGCCATTTCTTTTCATCCGGATAAAATGTTCCTGATTATTTATCTTTGTTGAAATAATTCCACCGTTACGCGCCTATCTGTTATCTTTATCTAAGTGTAGTTTTTCTGGCAAGTATCTCTATCCCTATCGCAGGTATATTCACTGTTTTTATGATGCGCGCGTGACACGGCGTTAGAATGAAACGATGTACCAATAGCAATGCTATAATTAATATTTGAACGCGTTTTATTTGAATGCTGCGTGTTATAGACGTCGGCGAGGACCGAAACGGTACGGATTTATCGATTTTTAATTGGGTACCCGGAATCGTCAACTATGGCCGCCAGTCTTTATTATATTCGTTACCAGCGTAGGTAATTGTAAAAGCCACGTGGTTATCGTTACGTTCATCAGCGTTAATTAATTTACTGGGCGCGATGTCAATAATATTATGCGTTACAAAAACCACAGATACACCTATGCACGACCATCAAACGAGAATATGCGATTTTAAAATATTAATATTGACTTTTCATGCCGTCATAGTGCGCACAACGCTCTGAAATCCGAACATCGGTAATACGTCTATAACGCACGCACGCTTTAGTTTTGGAGGTTTTTCATCAACCCCGGATGGATTCAATCAAATACGTTTAGAAAAGTTCTTTAGGTGGCCAATGGTCGCATAGGCGGCGATTCCACGTTACGCATATAATTTCTAATAAACAGTAGATTTTCAGGACGGTCATTTATAGCTTATGACGGTGTATACAATTGGCTCCTTATAATTTATAAGGATAAACGTGCGTGAATCCAAGCATTATTATGCTTATGCTGAAATTCAATACCTTTTATCTTTCGAGTGTACCGAGAAATTCGTATTGGTTTTACTTTGATGTTTATTTCGTTTGTTTTTTTTTTTTTGTATGTTTGTAAAAATTACTTGTTTACCAGTCGTATAATAGAAATCTGATAGTAGACTAGTATAGGTATAGTTTCTGGTTGCGAACCAGTTAATTGTATTGTCAGTTCGTTGAGGTGCAGATCATTCCTTGTAGTTTTTTGCATATTGGAGGAAAAACACCAGAAAAACGGGAATTTGCACGTGTCATAACGGCGGTATACATCCACACAGCCGTTTGAAATTGTCGCGTTTCGTGTTTATAAAATTGATATCGTGTTAAAATCCGTTAAAAACAGTCGTGTAATCCGAAGTTACAAATTGATACGATATTTTCAAATTAGATTTATCTGTTTTTTACATTTTTTTTAATTTATATGTTCAACAGTTTAAAACCGCATTCCGTTCAGAATCGTTTTTCGTTTGCTATGATTCATCGTTGCGTACAGATATATACATAGGAAGAAACGAGTCTTCCCGACACAATGTTCACAACAGCGGCCCGCCCACGGTGCGAATTATGTCGGTTTTTGTCTACATGCAATAGAACTGAACCGTGCGTATTATGTAAAATGCGTTCTGATCGTTACACTCTATATTATAATACAGGCATTATTGAAAAACGTTATCGGCTATATCGACTGCGCGCAGCTTTTTTACTATGGGTACTAAACGGTTTCTTTTACTTTTATTTTTTAATCCCGGTTCGTGTTTGAAATTCCTATTATTTTGCCAACGAAAATAAGAAGGAAAAAACACGAACACAAACACCGCCGACGGCACCCACGCGTTCTTCACGGCGCCCCGTGTGCGGTTTATTTGGACGAGTTATCGGAATCGCGGAACGGGTACGCTCGAAACACACGGAGGAACGCGGCCCGGCTCTTTCGCAGCAATAACGTCACCGGTATTATTTGCGACGCACGCGTTGTTGTTAGGCAGTCGCCCGTTGTCCGCGTGGAATAATACTAAAACACACGGTGCACTCGAGCCCGCGTGCCGATAAGTTCGATTAAGCTCGCGTCCGCACTGCGAAACCGAAAACGGATAGTAAACGGAAAATACCCTCAAACGTTTTACAACCATGCACGCGGTTCGCCCGTGGAGCCGTTTCGTAACGTTTCGTTTCGGGTTTTCGTAGATGTTCCGAACAAGCCGACACAATCCGTTCCGGCGGTTGTATGCACGTCGCGAAACGCCGGGGTTGTTTCGGTCGTACAGCACACGCGAGAAGAGAAACGTCGTCACTTTAATAATAATGTAATATCGCTGCCAGACGGCCCCGGAGTCTCGTCCCGGGACATCTGGAGAATCGAAAACAGCTTCCGAGTGTAATATGAAATTCCGGCGCGGCGTGCCCCCGCCGTGTCGGCGGTGTAACACCGCTGCTATAAGTATCCCGAAAACGACAACACATTTTGTTATTCAACAACGTCGCGCTCGAAACTGATTATCCGACACGCCGAAAATTCGATCGGTTTGTTTAGGTTTTTCTTTTTCAAATTGCGTTTACCTAAGTGAATTTTATTGCACGCGCAGTGTTTCAAGTTAATAAATTCTTAAAAATGACACATTTAAATCGCTCGACTAGCGCAGATCGGGGAATACGAAAACTTTTCGCGAAATTTAATATAGCATCGTTAGTCGAAAGTCGAAACCCCCAAAAGACACACCCTTGATACGTACCCGGTAAATATACACAATTCCATCCACTTAACATCATCATAAGGGGTTTTTTAGGGGCGTGTAAAGCTCAAAAACTTTTTCCAGCAATAACACGATAAAATTCTTATTGAAAATCAATCGAAAATTTATCACTTCAATCCGTCTATAAAACAACTATTATAATGAGCTCAACATCATTTAGTCCGGCGGGAGCCGCTAAAAATGTCCAAAAGTAACGGAAAAAGATAATATAATATACTAGAGTATTACGGTTAGGTATAGCGTTGAAAATTGGATAGTGTGAAATGTTCGTTCGGCGGATCACATTCTGTACTGTTAGTTTTAATATTAGAGAGCTAGTTGATCTATTGCCAAACTTTAAGGTAAAAACATTGTGTTTGCACATTGGTCAGTTTAAAATCCCTGCGTACGAAACTGACATTCGCGCGTACACGAGGATTCTGCGATGATCCTGATAAAATCTCAAAAATCCCAGAAAAAAAAAACGAAACTCCTCGTCACATTGCAGTGCGATAACGGACCGGAAAACGTTCCGCAACAATTATTAGGATTACGGATTTTTATAGTATTGGCGTAGTATTATTTTTGAAAGATTAGCAAAGTCATACGTAAATACTGGTCGTCGTGTAAGGAATCTAAATCCAAAACATTTTATTTTGTATTAGTTTGAACATAGTACCAGCAGTATTTGTTCTTTAGATCATATTTTAGGAGCGGTGCATACGCGCACTCGTATCTTAATCGTATCGTAGGTTACACGCTTTTTCCGATTTGCATTGTTCAAATTCGTACGCGCTGATAGCGAGGACTTATTCGTAAAAATAATCCATTCGGTTAGCAGCCGTCGAGTGTCGATCGATACCTCCTCTCGAATTATCCGTCTCGAAACGCATAGTTTTCCCGTAAACCCGACGAATAATAATAAACGCGCCCAGCCGACGATTTCAAAATAAAACGAATTTGTTCAGTGCGTATTTGTGTAGAGCCAAAAGTCCCGAAGCCCTTGAACAATGACACTCGCCCAACCCCCGCCCCCCTCCACCGCCGTCAAAAGCGGTTCGCGTGAGGAGAAATCGGACGTCTGGCGGGGCCGCGGCCCCCGTGCGCGACGGCCGTCGCGTACAGCGGTCGCCGACGGAAACGGCGACGACGTCCGGGGCTCGTCCTCACCGCGCATTGTTACGGACGCTCGCTGTCAAAACACCGCTGTTATTATTGTTACCGCGTATCGAAATATTTCTCTTGAACGCGGCCGACGCGGGTTTACGACGAGTTCGCCATTATCGTGGTCAGGGACCAGCGGCGGTCGGCTGCATTGCGTCACGTACGCGTCGCGCGTGTACAATAATAATAGCGATAATAGCCGGAAATACGATATTTTACGGTATTGTCGCGCGCCGCCGCAATAATAACACGATGGTCTCGTCGATCCCGCGGCGTTGAACACCGCGGTCGCACGACGCGATTGTACGGCGGCGGTTACGTTTCGTCCGCAGCCCGTCGCCGGCCGGGCGGCCGTCCGCTGCACCGGTGGCGGGGAAATCCGGCCGTCGCGTCTCTCGGCGCGGCCGCCGACGGGCGACGACGAAACGTTATCCGACCCCGTGCGCGACGCGCGACGACAACCGCGTACACAAAATACGGCGGCCGAGCAATCCGGACGCGCGGGAGTGCCGTCAGACGACGCTCCGCGGAAATTAATATCGTAGCACCGTGTCGGACGCGCAAACCCGAAACCGTCGGCGGTCGGAACGTAGGGTGGTCGGCCGGGTCACGTTTTGGAGTAGAAGAGTCCCATTATATTGTATATTGTGTCCGCCGTCCGGTTGGGGGGGGGGGGTTGCGGACCGCGAGTTTACGCGTGACGCATAAACACGGAAAGATATCGCGAGTCGGTGTGGTTATTTTGTTTTTTTTTGAAAATAATAATAGTTATTATAAAAAACAAAATGTAAATCGTAAAACGCGATTTTCGCACATTTTCGACGGCTGGTTGAACGTACGGAGAATTATGAAACGCCGACGACATCGTCTTTAAAACGTCGTGATCTACACGTGTTTCGCAATAACGCGTCCGGCTGTAAAACGGATTTTAGAAGAATTTTCGTTTGTTTTAGCGTAAACGCGGTTCGTCGCGAAAATGTACTACGTGATAATATGGCGTACAGTTCTTTTACGGCGTGCCGAATATTAATTTTAATTAGAGACGCACTTTTGAACTGTACAGTTTTAAAAAAAGTTTCTTAGGCCGGAACGAACCCACCAGAGTGTGATGCGGTTACGCGATACAAACGGTAGTGACTATAGTCACGTACGGAATACCTGCAACACCGGGGCCAAAACACGAGGTACACATTACGATTTACTCGAGGCTCAAACATCGTTTTAATCTGAATCGACGGCGATAAGTCGTGTTTTGTTGTGACGGCACCGTCAGCGGTCAATGTTCAAAGGTCTTTACGGCTGCCGGTCGGTCGCGGAAAATATCGTGAAACAATCGAGAGGTAAGAGAATAAAACACGAACGACTTTGGACAATTGTGACCGAAAATTAATCCGATCTCACAGCCCCGGTCAATAATACCCAATTGTCACTGTTATTGACGCTTCCCTCGCAAACGCATTACGACATCCGCTGTATTACCGCGGTGTGTTGATAAATTCGCGTTTAAATTTAACAACGTTAAATGCGTATGCATTCGACCGATTCGGCAACGCGATGGTATTTCGAGACCGCGTTACCGTTACGTTGTGTGTAGCGCGCTGCGCGTATGTTGTGCTTTGGAATTGATTGACCGTCGTATTCCATTTAGCGCGCGATGCTTACTAAATATTGTAGGTATAAACTTTGAAATGTCACCCCACTAGAAAAACTCACGGTTTTTATTTTAAGTTGTTACAAACAAAATTTGTCCAACGATAATACGACAAGAAGTACTACAGCGCTATGGCAGAATATTGGCGGGACGGACTGTGTACACGGTCAGTGCTCACAGAATCCGAGTTCGTCATCACGACACCGAGTTTGTCGAAAAAGCAGTTGCAAAATACAATTAACGGTTTTTGGTTTTGTTCACGCATTATTATACAATTTACGTATGTTCGTTATTTAATGAATAATCAATAATTTTGTTGATTCTCGGGTTTTAAGGTTATTGCGGTTTTCGCAGACGGGCGCACTTGCCCCATAATAATATCGGTTACGTTAACCTACACACTATTTACTCGATTAATACCGGATTCGGGGGAACACGGTTTAGTTTTTTTTTTTTTTTTGGGGGGGGAGGGGGGTGTTAAGTTCCCTCGCAGTGAGAATGTGTAATGATTGGTTTGACTGTGCGGATGTGCGCTATTTGTTTTCTTTCTGTTAATACGAAATTTTTTTATCGGAAACATTGGTCGGATTTTCAGACGAAACGTCTTTTCTGAGATCGAATTTCGTCTAGTTGGCGCGTTGAAAAAGCGATGGTAAAATTTTTTTCACATACGGTTTTCTTAACCATTGAGGAAAACCTGGAAAATGTACGACAATAACGCGGTCCATTGTATAAATATATACATATTTATAATTTTTTTTTTTTACGTTAATTTCATTCAATCGTACGCATATATCGGTACACACATTTATTATAATCGAGACTGACGCGTATATTCAAAAATGAAAAAAAAAAAAAAAAACCACAATTCGTTAATAATTATTATTAGGCTATAAAGATAATTTATATCAATTAAACCGCCATCAGGATGAGGAACATTAACAGTTGACACATTTTTTTTTTTTATTAATTTATTCAGCGAATTTAAGAAGTTTATATTATTCGCGACACGGGTATTATAATAATAATAATAGTAATATATTATATCAATACGACGCATAATTCGTTATTTTCTTTATAAAAAGCTTTTTCGCATCGGGATCAATTAATTGATATTCTAAAAGTAATTATAACGCGATAATTAATATTATGAGAAAAAAAAAAATACAAAAAGCGAACGAGAACTGCGTCGGAATACCGAAATAAAAATAAAATGAAATGCACGAGAATTAATATTTTCGGGGGCACGGTGAAAACATGAATATTCACGTGCAAATTGTATAGCCGTAAACAACGACAATGAATGGGGACACATAAAGACAGGCCACAATGTTGGCCATGGCGATAAATTACAAACGTCCGTTCGGTAAACGTCCTAGGATAATAGTGACGGGTGTAGCCCAGTGGCCACATAGTGTTATAGGTAATTTACATTTAATTAAAACGACTGAACTCGGCTCAAAAACAAGTAAAGGTCGATCGACCGCGCACAAATCTGCCGAAAAGATTCGGAAATTCCTACAAAGGAAGTAAAAATTGACCGTAAGATATTCAAAGATACAAATTTTCCTTCCCACTCGACCCGACCATAGGTATCGTTCGCACAAGATAGCAAATAAAAATGAAAATACTATGCAAATTGTAAACAAGATTTCTTAGGATAATGAAGACGGGTGCAGCCACTGTTACAGGTGATTTTATGTATACCCGTAAGCAATGATAAACCATTGTTAACGAAAAAACGATCTTGAGCGCAGTTCTGTTGATTGTGATGCTTTATCAACAATATATACATATATTATGTTATTATATGGTAAAATAATTAAATTAGCATTACATATTTTCTTTAATATCGTATCGATTTTCTCGTTTTTTCTGCGTTTTTCCCGCTTTTCCCGTGTTTTTCTCGGATTATCGCATTTGCAAAGAGAACTCTTTGAAAAATCGAGAAATGACTTGTTTAAAGTACTTTTCCAGTCAGATTTAATTTCAGAAAAAGTGCTATCACTATGAATCGAAGCTAAATTGCTTACAGAAAAATTATAAGTAGGAAAAAATAAGCCATAATATTTTTTTACTAATACCAACATTTCGTACATTTTCTTTTTTTTTTCGACATTTTATCCCGGTTTTTCCTAGTTATAATGAAAACTGATTGGAAAATCACAAAAATGACGTCCCTAAATTATGGAGGTAAAATTTTCTTTCGGAAAATCAGCTATACTTGATACACGGGAGCAAGATTTCTGGTAGAAAAGTTTGCACGGGAAATCGAGGGGTATTTTTCAATTAAAATCGTCCGAAGAAGCGATAGTTAGGTCCCTAGGTACGTTTATAATGCATTTGCTTTCTTCCTATTCAGATAAAAAGGGGAAAAAAGTGCAACAAATTTCTATTCAAAACCTGGGTTTGAACCAGCGATCCTTAGTATGACATTAAGCACTCATAACATTTTAACTACAACATACTTATAGAAAGCAGCAATACATTTTTCTCCACACAATAGTTTGAACTCGGAACCTCTCGGATGATAATAGACATAAATAACCATTAGATCGTGACAAATATGCATTAAGAAAGACAATATATAGTTATTTAACATAAACATATAATATCTGCATAATATCTGAAATATAAAAAGCTATAATTTCGAAACTTAGCTATTCCGCTCAATTCTGACTTCACCATCCTTCTTAAATCGGCAATACACATATGTTTAAAAAAAAAAAAAAAAAAAACTGAAAAATTAGATTTGATTCACATAAATTTTTACTCAATTTTCGTCAAAATATTTTATCGAAATTCCTTTATAAAAACAAATACTATTTTAAACTTAAATTTTTTTTTCCACAAAGTAAGACTTAATGAAACTGCTGGGGGGTACACGTCTAAATGCCGCACCGCATGATTAAAGACAAAATGTTTATATACTTCTGCAAGGCGCTGGCCGGAAAAACGATATAACGTCCGGTCGATAGAACTGTCAGGTTGTTCGTTAAGTACGGTGGTCGCCAATAATACGCGGACTAGAGACGTCATGGATCTATTGCAGAAGCAACGTAAATACTGAAAATTATAAACGTCGAGTGACGGTGAACTTGGGTGAAACTCCGGACAGTAAGTCAAATGTAAGGTGTTTGTGTGAATCACTATTGAATGATAATATCGCCTTTGGCGGTACCGGCGCCAAAAGTATATTGCAACTTATGGTTGAAAATAATCACCAATTAAAAGTTTTGGAATTATGCAACTGCGGATTAATAGAGGAAATTGGCAAAATTGCTTAAACAACAGTCGACGGCGAAACTCTAGTGGTGTCGGGCCCGAGAGAAAATAATTTGTAGAAACAGACGTTAAAATTATTGCAAGATAAATAAACAACCCCGGGAGAACGAACGAAGACCAGAGTAACGTTCGAATAGAGCGCGCGTGTAAAGTGTTAAAATAAAACCGTGTACACGTGCGAGATTTAATAAATAAATCGTATCTCTGAATAATATCGTAATGTACCCGTTCTACATAAAAAAAAAGAAACCCAGCCCGTAGCACCGTGCTGCAGCACATCACGTTACGTGTTCGGTTATCGAGAGTTTCTATCGAATACATTGGGTCTTCCGAGGACGGAAAGCGCACGTTATCACAGTCCACGACTAGCTATAAATCAGGCACTTATTCGTTATTCATTATTATACGGGTACTTATTTTACTCGTATTTGTACCGTATGGTTCCTATATATATATATATACAAGTATACGTATACAATAGTGGCCATAATTTTTCTATTGTATATTTGTGTAGTCAATTGAAATTTAAAATTGCCGTTGTTCAAAACGAATTGTGCGCAGAAAGTTGTTGTTATCAATAATCTAATGGGGTAGGTCGGGGGATTTAAGTGGTACCCAACGAAGCTCGGTTAATTTCTAATGAATAAATTTTAACGTAAAATCACATTAAAGTGATGATTGTGTTTTGAACGCGAAAAATGATGTAGACTCCCGACGACGGCCGTGTAGGCACGCTCGGTGACGAATATTAATGACGCGACGACCGATAACGGCGAGAAACGGTGTTGGAGAACGGCCGGCCGGACGTGACCCCCGAATGATCGTAACGCGTTTTCAGAAGAGAGTTTGCGATTTGCGCCGAAATAAGGGTAGGCGATTTGCACCACCGTAGGTAGTTGAAAACAGTGTATGTAGATTCCACCCAAAACGAGTGCCCGTATTCGATTAAACCGCAGTGGTATAATAATTATACCACTGCGGTTTAACTATTGAACATTTTAGCACTATGCCACTATTTTTAAAAATCCAAAAACTATTGTTCTCTCTAAGATAAGTTTATCTTTGCGATATTTCGTTTCTAGAGAATGGATTCATTAATATACACCGGTTTTATAAAACATATTATTGTTACATTATTTGTTTGATGTTTTCAAACTTTTGACGTATTTCAATATTATTGAATTTCCTCATCTAAAACGATAAAACGATATTTCCGTGGTTCCTGACTACCTTATCTGGTATTCGTTTCAAAAATTGACGTTCGATCAAACACTAATCTAAGTCTATCCGACTTTTCGTGTGTACCACAAACATTATAAATCATATTCTTGCCTAAAACAATGCAATTAATATAATATTATAAAATATGTTTGTCATATATTATTGTTATAAAATAGTTTTTAAGTCAATACTGACGTACCATAAAAAGCCAGAGGAAAAACAATAATTAAATGAAATAACCACTCAAAATCGAAACGGAATAATCCGTGTATTTAGCTGATCGTATCTCAATATAATTTATAATTATACCATTGTAAAAATTTTAAATTTCAAAAAATTTGTGACATAATTTGAAATTAGGTTATGCCACTGCTAAGCAAGTCGTATATTATCAAAACATAAATAATATCAATAATCGATAGGATAGATTGATACGTGCCAAACATTCTGTGTGTCTAAGGTATAATACGACTCATTAAACTAAAATCAAATTTAATTAATTAACCCAACCAATTAATTATACAATGGTATTTGTCAAGTACCCAATTCACTTGAGACATGAAGCATAATATAGTCGTCCTAGGATAACGGGGACGGGTGCAGCCACCGTTATAGGTAAATTTAATACATACCTGTAAGCAACGACAAATCATTGTATACGAAAATACGATGCTGAGCGAAGTTCAGTTGATAGTGATGTTTTGTCAACAATATATTTATCAATAAATGTAATTTTATAGTAAAATAATTAAATAGGCTTAATATATATTCTTCAATAATATTTGTTTCGTGTTGTACCGATTTTCCCAGTTTTCCTACGTTTTTAACGGTTTTCGTATGTTTTATCCCGGTTTTTGAAATAAGCTGGGAAAATTCTTAGGAGAATCGAAAAATTACCTCTTTAAAGTACCTCGCTAGTGAAATTTCCATTGAGAAACATTGCTGTCATTGAATGTTGCGGCTAAATTATTGGTAGAAAAGTTGTACACAGGAAAAAATGTCGTGATATTTTAGTTATATATTTTGTACATTTTCCCATTTTTTTTTTTTCATGGGTTTTCTAATTTTATGAAAAAATTCCTCAAAAAATCAACGACAGGGAGTCAAATTTAAGGCGGTTATAGAGGAAATTACTATAGAATTACCATATTGCCTACAGCGATAACAGTGCTAAAATTATATTGCAACTAATTGTTGAAAATAATTACCAATTAAAAGTTTTGGAATTATGCAACTGCGAATTAACAGAGGAAATTTTGCAAAATTGCCTAACCTTTGAAATGAAGACGGAACGCTGAAATAAAGGGTGCGCGTAAAGTGTTAAAATAAAACCATATAAAAGACAAATGTCAATAATTAAATTCTATCTTTGTATAATATGGCATTCGCCCGTTCTATACAAAAAAAAAAAAAAAACCAGGTTATCAAGAGTTTTTATCGAATTTATCGGGTGTTCCACTTGTTTAGAACAGAAAGCTCTCTTTAACTCAGTCCACAACTAGAAAACGTGCTACGGTTAATAATCGGAGCAAAATCTCTGGTAGAAAAACCAGACCGTTGTAAAACCGTAATCTTACAACAGCTTACTATGACTACAATGAAAATCATCATTTTAAGATTAAAAATTACGTACAAAGTGCATACACTTTTTTTTCTTACCTGCCTGTTATTCTTGTATTATTATTGTATATAATTTCAATTATTTTAAGACATTGTTTTTCGTTCAAAAAGCAGGCTAGGTACGTGAGGGGCAATTTGTTGCGAAATAAAATACCTATCTATTTTTTACATAAATTATAAAAAGAGGTGGAAAAAAAAATTTAACTGTTTTTTTTTTTTTTTTTTTTTAAAAGCCGTTTAATATATTATAGTATATATAATAGCAGCACCGGCATAATTGAAAAGTTCTGTTATTTACTCTCTTTCAGTGCTGCAAGCTGCTAGCTAGGATGAAAAGCTTTTAGCATGATGACTTACATAATAATATATTACAATGTTAGCACTTATATATGAATATATACATAAAGGTAAAACAAAAGAAAAGTCATATTTTCACGGTGCGGCGGTGAGCATTACCGACTAATTATTGCGATATTCTACGTACCTAATAGCAGTATACGTAATATACAATTCGAAAAATTCGCACTGTACGTACTACAGACAAGCCCGGATGCATTCCGGTATCCGGCTAGGAGTCGGGTCGATTCGAATTTACCGCCTAGTGTTTTATCGAGCTCTTGCGAAAGTGTCATCGGTGTTATCAACGTCAAACTGTTTCGTCTGGGGGCCGTCGGCCGCCGTCGTTGCGAACGCCTTGCGAGCTCGTGTCGAAAGTAACCGTCGGTTTGTTGCATGTAAAACCGCGCCGGGTAGATCACGCGGGAAAAATTACGGGCGAAAAAAAAACGCAAAAAAAAAAAAACTCGACGACGAGCGCCGTTTTACCGCGCTCTAGTGCCTTTGTCACCGTTCCGTGAATACGTCAACGCCGCAAGATCAACACTGCGGCGACCGCGACGTCGAAACGGACCGGTCGCGAAACGGGAGTTGCGTCCTGTTGGTGACGAAACGGACACCGGAGCGCGTTATATAGTACGCTTCCTGGGATTAAGAGTGGACGGGAAGCAAGCGGCCGCGTACCCTGAGCGTGTCAAGTACGTTCGTTAAATGTTCGATAATGTCCGTTAAGAACATTATCGTCACGGTTCGAAAACTGGCATAAAAAACAAAACAAAACAAAACAAAAATTATACAAAGAGGGTTTTAAGTTCTTGAAGTCGGGCCGCGTCACCCGCTGAACGGTGAATAACGTCGGTCTCGCGTGTGTACGTCCGTACTCGGATATTATCGTATCGATTTTCTAATTAAAATTATCCGAGGCAATCTTTAACAACACCGTATTATATGTTTAAAACTATAGCCGTTTTTCGGCAATTCGCCGACACTCGAGCAGAGTACGCTCCCGGGTACGCGGAACAACTATTGTGTAAACGCTTTTGAGACCGTCTTGAAAATCAGCAACAAAACCCCTTTGAAGGCGGCGGTGTTCAACGGGACGTACGTAAAATCGAATTTTTCTTTTTTCTTTACCGACAACACCGTTCAACGCGATATTTAATAATACGTCGGTACCATGTAGTTACGCAAGTAAAATCAACATTATCCGCGGTTCGGTAACACACCGTTTGTGGCCTTTGCACCTATGTTTAACGTTTGGTTTCGAACTCTAACCGTAACACAGTTCGTATTTTTTTTTTATTTTAATCGCTGCCGATAATCCGCGATATTATTCCGTACATTTCTCATCGGCCAACACATTCTGCGGCGTTGTACAACACGTCATTATCGTGATCAGACGGCTGAGAGGAAAACGGAGATAAACGTCCCGCCGAGCCCCACGGTTATCTTGACCGAAGCGAACCAACGAAATCGAAACGTGCGCTATAATATGCCCTAGTAACAACAACGGAATCAACGCGACAGAATGTCACATATATGCTCGCTCGCGTGTAAAAAAAAAACAAACACGAAAAAACTCGAATGTACAGACGTCGATCGAACGCAACTGTAAAACGGGTATTCGAATTGATCGCATAATTAATGATGACTTTTTTCTCTGCTATTATCATTCGATTTGAATATGAAATTTACGATAAATCCAAAATGAATAATATTTCGCGCGTATTAACAAAAATTACACTTGTAACGTGCAACGTAAAACGTTCGCCGGTGCACGAAACGAATTAATTACTCTGCTGTTTTTGTTTATTTTTTTTTTTTTTTTCTGTATTTTATATATATATAATGTATACATGTATACATATAAACACAATAATTACGAACCGAACGGATACAAGTCCTATTAATAACATATTAATATAATATCAAAGTTTTAGCAAACAAAAATACAAACAATATTTTAATATATACGGCGCGACTGAAGTATTACCCTGTCCCGCGTAAAATGTTAATATTAACTAAATATTTTCACATAAAAAAAAAAAAAAAAAAAAAAAAAAAAACGAAAAATAATGTGGGTAGGTGTACGCAATATCGTTATCATACTGTTACTCATTGAAATATAATACTATGCGACTGCGGTTGAAACGAAATATATATTATGATATTCCGCGCGCGTTCGCGGCTGGGGGTAAGCATATACCCGCCACTGATCGCATTTGAAAAAAAAAAAAAAAAAAAAACGCCGGCCGCGAGTTTGCAGTGACAAGGGCGTAAACGTAGAAAAATAAGTACGCGACGGGTTTTTTTTTTTTTTTGTTTTTTCTATAATAAAAAACCTCGCATACACTCCGGCGGCCGGCCCGAGCGAGAGAGAACCTTTGTTCGAAAATATGACTGATCTCGTTGTATTTTTATTTTTCATTTTTTTTTTTTTTTTTTTTTTCTGTAGTTACCCCTCCACAGTAGTTCAAAAATATATAGAGAAGAAAAAAAAAAAAGAGTAGGGGTCTCGTATAATAATAATAAAAATAATACCGAATAGAGTATGACGCGAACGCGGGTGCGTGTGCGTGCGAGCGGGCGCGTGAGTACCAGAGGAGAGAACGGACGCCGCTGTGCAGCTCCGCAGTGCACGGGACAAAAACAAAGCCTCACTCTGCGAGCGAGAGCCCTCGTTAATGAACTCTCATTTCCAATTAAATGCTGTGTGTCTTAATCACACTCGTAAACGTGCGTGCGCATTAGCGGGAAATGGAGAAGGGGAGGGGGAAGGGGTTGTCCGAGAGAGGAGAACCATCGGCCGTTATAACTATAATCACGGTGCCTAAAGCATACATGACGATTTTTTACGACGGTTTCGCGTAAGATCGATTTCGGTTTTTTTTTTTTTTCGGTTTTATTTTCATCTCCGTTATTACACGCGAATACCACGGTCTTTGCAACGTATTTTTTTTTATATTTAACTTTACACTAAAAACACGCGTATAATTATTGACTTTCGGCTCTCCCGCCACGTTTCAGACCAGATCCGATAAGAGAACATCGCGGTCGAACGCGACAAATCAAATAAAAATTCCGCCGAGAAAACCGTTGGGTCATGATAAAAAAAAAAAAAAAATCACCTAACCGAATATTATATCATTACCGGCACTATTTACAATCGAATATACAATTATAATAATATCACGTCGTATAATAGGCGTATCGGTTATGTCGGACGGTCGTGATCGAGATGAGAGGGGGGGGGGAGTATCATTAACCGCCGTGACACGCGGGAAAAAAACAAAAATCGAAATATCCTTTGGACCGCGCGGTCCAGGACGTTTCGGCGCATGGTCTTTTCGATAATATTTCGTTGATGTTTGTAAGTAAAAAGTCATTTAACATAGTTGATATTATGTTTTTTTCTATTTAAACGCATTATATTCGCCGTCATTTTTAACACGTGTTATAGTAATAGTGCCACGTACACAATACAACTATAAAACAAACGTAAACATATTCCGATAAATGGAACTGACGCACACTGGCAAATCAAAAAATATGTAATAAAAATGATAAAAATGTAATAACGTAATTAGGTAACCTACAGATACAATACTTACAATCAACGCGCTTAATCCGTCGAATTTGAATTACGCGCCGATTCATCTTGAAAAAACTCATATCGAACAATTTTATTATATTGTATTGCTCAAAATCAATTCGTTTAAAAATCTTTACGCCGAAACGTCTGGACCCGCATGAAATTGTAGGTACGCAACATATACGGCTCGATGTCTCGATACGTTTTTCGAAACGCTCCTCGTTTTCGCGGCGAACAATATTCGGCGTTTTCGAATATGTGCAGCACTTAAATCCTACGGGGGAGGGGGGGAGTAGAGTGGCTTTAATTTTTATGTATAATACGGTATTTCGTTAAAAAGATACAAAATTAGGTCCGTCGAAATTCATCAAGCGATCCGACGAAAGTGTCCGAAGAGAACTGCTTTCGAACGAAACCAAAGTTGAGCTGATATTCTTGAAAAATAATGTTTATCTACTAACTCTTTACGAATGTGAGAATTTTTTTTTAAAAAAAAATAGTTCGCTTTGCATAAACGACCGAAACAACACGATCAGGTGATACAACGCGTACAAAATAATATCGACACTATCTGCGGGCAAACACAACAATAATACTAATGTATTTAGAAATGATAACGACGGGACCTCCGAAATATTTTTATACCGTCCGAATTTCGTCTCATCTCCCTCGTCTGTTCTCTTCCGGTCGCCGCCGGTTTTCCTTGTCCAATGACATTCCCTTCCAACCCATTCGCAAGTTTACTTTCCCTGTATGTTCCGTGCCGTTATGTCTTTCCATCTCGGTCTCGGCCTTCCGAGCGACGGTTCCCTCCAAGGTTCGTTTTCTAAATTGCAGGCCTCAGCAGCGATCGCTCTTTTGCCATTACGCGTGCGCTACCCACTTTTATTGGCGATTTCATTCGCAAAATGTTCGTGCTCCGATACAGATTCCTTGGTCCCCTATCCAACTATTCATTGATATTGCACCGTATCCCGGTTAAGAACCGACAGCATTCAACGGAAGGTCTGTAAGGAACGTTCCTACCAAAAGAACAGATATCGTATATCCAATCGGACCTGATTGAATCTAATCGACATGCGATATTTAATTAATCCCATAATAGAAATACGAACGGAAATATTTATTTTTGCTGTTGTCGATGCGGGATGGAACAGGGGAGATGGTGTCGAGGGAAATATATCCAATGCATGTAAATACCTACGCGGGAGAAACACTGTTATCGTAAACCGGTGAAATATCGCGTGCATTTTAATTTACCGTCGATTTTTATAGTCGCGCCCATGAACTGTATTAATATGCAAGTATGCAGTATACGAGTTCGATTTTTTAATCATTTTTTCAACGAGCGATGTTTATTCTATTTCCTTTTCCCCGCCCGGAAACAGTTACCTACTATCTACTAACAACCAGAATCGTTCGTTTTTTCCTTTTTTTTTTTTTTTTGTAAGTCTTCTTTGTTATTGTAGTGTTTATTTGTCGAGCACAAAGTTTGGCGGACTCGGTCGCCGGTTTTCTCGGCGCGCGCGTTCGCGTCTATTATAACAACGAGGAAAAAAAACTTATTATTATTATACTGCTATCATTACTAATGTCATTATTTTTATTATCATTATCGTCGCGTTATTATTGTTATACCGTCATTTGCCGGTGTCGCGCGACATTGCTGCGACGGCAGCGGCAGTAGCAGTACGGCGCGAAATGTAATCGTTTTTATACGGTTGTGTTATATATATAAAAAAAAAAAAAAATGTTTTCCATTGCGGCGGCGGCGGCGACGCTTAAGGGCCAGTGGAGAGTTTAATATTAATAAAACATCGCGAAAAGTTTGTACGGGAAAAACGGGCAGAAAAACTACGAAAAAAAAAAAAAAAAAAAAAACCGAAACTGAACAAACGAAAAAAAAAATAAATAAAAATGTTCGACTCGAAAGTCGTTGTGAAACAATATCGTTATTATTATTATCGTTATTATTATCAAAAGCACCGTACGAACGGGTGTACGAACGTTAACCGAAATTACCGCAGTTATAATAACATTGTGTAAGTACTCACAGATACACACACACACACGCACGCGCACACACGGACCGCGTGTCGTCGTATTATTGTCGCGGCGCGCTATTGTTCCACGGGTCCGCGCGAAACCGGAAATCGCGCGATTATCAAGTTTACACGGTTCTTATTTAAAAATCTAAAAAACGGGCGAGACTGCGTTCGTCGCCGTTTCCGACGCGTTTCAAATTTGCTCGTCGGATCCGCCCCGGAAACGGAGTCGGTCGCGCTGTAACGTATTTACGCGGTACATAATATCGGACCGAGTTCGCTCGAACTCGAAATAATTTAATTTTTGTTTACGCGGGCGGATTGAAACGGTACGTATAGGGTTTGGATTTCAATACGAATGTAATAACCGTGCGGTCGCTGGCGGTTTTTTTCCAGCTATGCCATACCCCCGTGCATCCGTCCCCCCCCCACCCGCTGTCGAGCCAAGAGAACGCGGTTTTATATAAATATGCACGACGTGAACATTTAAAATACGCCTTTTAGAGGTTTTGAACTCTCAATAACTCCCATTCCTACGAATTCTACGACGAAATTTTACCATGTTTTTTTTTTTTTTTTTTTTTGTACTATTATAGTATTCGGTTGTTTACTATTCTGCAAAGAATATTTCAATTTTGCAAAATAGTCGGAGGATCAGCTCCAGTGACTGCTGCTCGCGAGTGTTTTCATTTTTTTGTTTTTGTTTTACAATAAAATACAAATTTTATCCCGTTAACGTTATATTTCTATGCTCCAATAATGATCGTAGCGATTGCGCCAAATTTTAAAAACGCGAATACATTTAACTTTTTCTTATCCGTTCGGTAGAACACAACGAATCGTTGCTATAAAACGGTTACGGACGGATGGCCAAAAATTACCATAGATTTCGGTTTTATTTGCGATAAGTACCGACATTTTTTTTTTTTTATTTTTCTCGACTTTCCACGGTGGGCGTCGTATTCGAAATTAATTCGTGTTTTATTCGTGTTGTCCTCGAAAAAATATGAGATTTAGTGTGTGTGTTCGCTTGCGGTTTCTACGTATTTACGGACAATGCGGTTTTCGTGCCGCGATAACGATACCCGATCGATAAAAATAATATCGGGTTCTTTAACGATAAAATAATGTAGTCGTTCGACAGGTATAGGCTATAGGCCCATGCCGGATACGATAAGACGAGTAAAAAAAAAAAAAAAAAAATAAAAATCGCACGGTCGTTTCGCTTGCGTTTCGCGTTATCTTTTATTATTGTTTAATTTTCTCAACGAGTTTGTGCGCAGACGTTGCAGACGGGTGTAAGTGTACCGTAATCGTTTTTCGCTAAACGGTATCGCGGGAACACAATAATAATATGCGTTACGAGGAAAATTGCGCGGCGAACATTTTTCAATTTTAAATTTTTTTCGATTTTAGCGATACTTTCAGAAATATCAGCAAAAAACTACATTATTTTTTTTTTTTTTACTTTGAATCATCTTTTCTTTTCTTTTTTGAAAACTCTTTATCCGAGTTTCGCCACCTCCGCTCCCCACGAAAATAACGTGTCGCCTGAACTGTTTTAATCTCTCTTCTTAGAGCCTCGTTCTTTCGGGTTTCGATTCAACGCAATAATAAAATTATACGCCCTGAAGTTCTATACTGGACGGCCGAATCACATTAAAAAAGCAAACTCCCGAAATCGTTTAAATTCGAACCTCGCGAACAATACGCGTTTTACACAGAATCCGGTATAAGGCACTAGACAGCGGCGAGCAAACATTTCAGCCGAGCAAATAAATGCGTAATATATCGTGCAGTTTTCATTTGTTTACTCGTACACTAATCTAGCGCCGTAGTGTATAGACTTTCTTTACAGCGGGTTCGCGATCCGGCTAAAAAAAAAAAAAGTCCCGTCTGTGTTATACGCGACGGATTCCGAGTCCGCGGCGATACGGTACCGGTTACGCCGGCACCACAACGTAAACAAACTGTTTTCTTTTGCGTTGGTTCCGACGCTTTACGCAACCGGTTCGTAATCGTCCGTAACCGCAAATTCGGAATCCGCAACCTTAACCGAGCGTCGGAAAAGCCGTTTTCCCGTCCGGCGTTACAACCGGTCAAATACTCTGCGCACGGTGTCGCGGGCGATCGCGAATCGATTACCGAACTACGGAACCGATTTGAATGAAAACAATTCGAGCCGCGGTGCCGGCGCGACGCACCCGCGGCGACGTCCCCGCGATTCGTTCCGCCCGACCGTGTGACGCCGCGACGCAAGACACGTTGACGTTTCAATTGGCCCCGGAGTTGAACCGTATTTGCGAGCGTTTCTGCGACAATATTAATGATGCGCCGCGGCATACACCCAATGTCTGTCGGGACTATATTATACTGTCGTCTGTTTCGTTTTTTTTCGTTTTTTTCCTTTTTTTCCCGGCGCGTCCAAAAAAGCGAGTTTTCGCATTGTGTTCCGTATTTCCGCGCGCATACGGTACCTGCTCGGTACGCGTTTCAGAGACCCGGCGAGAAGTGTTTGTCGTTCGCACGGAAATATAACGAAATCAATTGAGACTTTTGTTACGTTCGGGTTAAACACTTGCGCCGAGGATCATACGCGCGGGATAAGCCTCCCGATAAAACTCCGACGAAAATTTCAAAATATTTCTATTGATTTATTATAAAATGTTAGTGAACACGTTTAGAATCCGCATAGAGAATAACGGTAAATAACGCTTAACGCTAACCAGAATTAACATGGTATCGCGCCCTATACAAACGCGTCGATATCCGCAATGAAAATCCGTACGAATCGTGTTATAAAACACCCTCTATCCAAATGAATATCCCCTCGTGCGTTTATCTCTGTAAATGTATGATTGTTTTTTGTCGAAACACGTTGATTTCCGTGATAATTTCAAACGAGAAAAATGTCGTTGACGCCTTAATCCACTTATTGCGAAATCACACGGGGCGATATTGAAAACGCTGTTTGTTTGTAAAATAAACAAATACAATTTAACGTTACAATGTTGTTATTTATGTATGAACTGCGATAATCCGATAATTTGCAAGCACCTGTTGATTTGAACGTGAAAATCGACTTGAGATATTGGAAAAATTGACCTGCTTATAAAGAACTTTCGCATCGCTACAAATGAAATCTGAAACGGGACTCGAGTTGGTATTCACAATGCGTGTAAGCGGCTCCGATTGTGACACCCAATGAGAAATTATCGCACTCTAGTTTCACTATTCGAATTGATTCCAATCACCTACTTTCGATCAGAACTTATTAACTTATTGAATACAATCGACCTATACAATAAAAAAAAAAAACGTTCCAGGATAATGGAGTCTGATGCAGCCACCATACACCCATGAGGAACGATAAACCGTTGCTAACGAAAATACTGTAATAGAATATAAGTTTTCCGTCCGAATTTCAAGTGTCTACGGATATTATCAACTGAATTACAACTAATTACAAAAATAAAAAATAAGAAAAGCATTATTTCCATACATTTCCCGTTTTTCATACGTTTTATCCTGGTTTTTCTCGGATACCATGAAAACCGCTTGGAAAATCAAAAAACGAACTCCCGAAAGTACTATTTTTCAGAAATGGCGCCGCGCGTATATACCTAAGCAAGATTTCTGGTAGAATGTGTGTACACGGGGTAAAATAATAATAAAAAAAACACCGAACCAAAGAAACTGTGTGTACTACGGGTCATTAATTTTTGAATATCAATAGAATAAGATAATAACGAATCAAATAGTACGTATAAACGATCGCCCAACTAAAATACCAACTAGATTAATTTTCCTACTAGAACTAATGTTGAAGTTGCAAATCAAATCATTTTTTCTAATATAAATCGCAAATTGTGTACCGCGATACACACACAAATAAATACGTACGCAATTGTAATATCGCTCCGCTCAGAATCTAAAATCATGAAATAATTAAAAAAAAACTCAATTAAAAATTTATATTATTTTGACGGGAGCCAATTCTACGGTAATCCGTAGGTATTATACCGGTCGTGTCTGCCAACAGTACTTTCGATGTGGCAGTGCGAGTGTTCGTTTAGCACTCTTTTAGATATAGGCACAAATAGTATTTGTGATTTCGGAGGGGGACTGAAGTCTGGGATCTCAGAATTTGCGAAGCAATAACCACTTAAAAACTGTCCTCGCTTTGTTCTTTTTAAAATGTAAACACATTTACAGTTCCAGGTAACATTTGGTTGCCTATTTAGAAATCCTTAGAAAGTTTAAACCACATTTTATATTTGTAACTACACGTTACACTACTTGATGGCGTTAGTGTCAATTACAATGTTAGATACCGGAAACATACGGTCCGCGACAATACGGTTTGTGTGTTTATTTTTTCCGGATTTCTACAGTCCGGGACTATACAGTGGACGTATTTGCTTTTTCCGAGATAATACGGTCCGTGACAATACAGTTGGTTACTTCACGGATTTCTCAAGTCCGTGATAATACGGTACGAATATTTTGCAATTCCGGAAATATACCGGTCCACAAAAATACGGTCCGTGAGATTACTTTCCGGGGTTTTATTAAAACGGCATTATTTCCTAAATATTTTACCGTTTTTTCGGTCGTTTAAATTTGATAAGAAAACTCGAGAGAAAATCGAAAAATGACCTCTCTGAAGTATCTCGCTAAAAATACAGCGGATTCCGCATAATTGTGGTTGCCCGTTTTAACCGAAATGAGTGTCGTTATACATTACAGCCGGGACTAAACCATTATGCCCATATTAGGTGGCTGCCCGCATTAAACGGTCGTCACATTAATCCACTGTACTATCGTTTTTTTTTTTATTTTTTTTTTTCACAGAGGCTAGAAGAAAAAAGCCGGGCAACTTTGCACGAAGGTTTCAGCATAACGCCAGATATGTGTTCCTGCCCGCATTAAACGGTCGTCACATTAATCCACTGTACTATCGTTTTTTTTTTTTTTTTAGATTCTGAACAGAGCGGGGAATGTACTGGTTTTACATAGATGTTTATTATGATTATTATTATTAATATTTTGTATTTTTTCGATTTTCAAGCGCAACGCCTTTTCTAAAAATTAGAGTGGTACTTTACGAACGTCTGAGTTACCTAGCTCGGGGACACACGGGAAAAAACACGATTTATAATACTCGTCTCAGAATCGATTTTCATTAGCGATAGTTTACCGTTACGTAAGGATGTAAATTAAATTAATCCATGCACACTCCCTTCCAACATTCCCGTTGAAACAGTAGCACAGCCATTAGCAGCGCGAGCTCTCCGTAATATTATTATTATAAATATTAAATATAGAAAAGTTTTCAAACTGCAGAACAGTATAAGATTTGATATACGGGCTGTACGTCTGTTTTGGACGAGTCCGAAGCGATTCCCCTACTCGGTACTTATATAATATTGTTGTTATTATATTGTAATTTAATTTTTCTTCTTTTTTTTTTAATTTTTTCAATGTACTATTTGTTTCAATTTTTTCCGAGTACCGGGACATCGCTTTGAGAAAAATTCAAAACAATAATTTTTTTTTTTTTTTTTTAAATTCCTATCCCCAATGTGTGCGATTGAATTATATCTACTACTAGCTAAAACTTTTGAACTTGTTTACTGACCCGAAAGGCAGTCACAAAAAGAAAAAGAACATATAATAGTGAAATACACACATGCATACATAGATTCCTCGTTGTCTACTCGGAATTTAAAAATACATCACAGACAATTCATACACACATACTTTAGAATATCCACTCATATTGAACCGGGCACGAGTCGCGGAGACAAAACTTGCGAAAGAAGTTTTTCTTTCCCCGCCCCCTCCCCCTCCCCTCACCTAAAATACCGTCTCGCGCTTAGCTTCGCCGTTCGGCAAAAGTAATGTGAAACGGAGTATGAATACGCGTAATAATGATCTAATGGATATTAAAAAAAAAAAAAAAATGCGGTAATACCGAGACGAGCTTTTCGAAACCGCGTTGAAAAACGCGTTGGCGGCCGGACATCGAGCGTCCCGCCGGACCCGGACCGAAGGGGCGCAACCGATAGTTTCGCCTTGGCCGAGGACGGGGAACGCCACCGATCGCGAACGCTTCGAGGGCTACCACTGTCCGGCGTAACATTGCGGCCCCGAACCGCCGTCACCGCGGTCCGCCGGTATTTCGCGACGTCCTCGGCCCCGTCGACGCCGCCGTTTTCGCGCGAGGCCGATCACCGCGACGACGGCGATAAATCGGCGCGTGATCGACGGGAGCGCGCGTAAAAAAATACTATCGCCACAACAGGCGCGTTTCGTTAATAGGCGCAGAGGTTTTTCGAGGTTTCGCGTCCGCGTCCGACTATCCCCGGTGATTAATCGTCCGACGGCCGGGTTCGGCCCCCGGACGCGGGGGGGGGNGGGGGGGGGGGGGGTTGCGTCGGTGGCGTTTTAAGGGGTGACGCGCGGCGGTATGGCGGTAGGGGGTGGAGGGGAGAAGCCGCGGGGGAACCGATCGCCGGTATCGCGTCGTGGCGAACGGGCCGAACGGACGACGGGTCCGAGGCGACGGTCTCGAACGAGTCCCGCGTACGGCGAGCAAACGGATCGACAATAATTCCCGTGTACCGTCGTAACCGACTGGACCGGCCAGAACGAATAAGAAAAAAAAAAAAATGACGCGATTCTACGCGTATAATTTTTTTTTTTACGAGCAATTCGCAATTAAAATCCGACCTAACGTTAACGTTGACGGCACGTTATATTAATCCGTAATCGTTGGTTTAGTTATAATATTTATACTGTTCCGAGAACGAGGAGAAGAAATACAGTTTTTATGTTGGCGAATGGATTTACCCGTAGGAAAGAATTTTTTGTGTTTTTTCCGACTAAAAAACGAAAGAAATTCTGATTTGGAAAAAAAAAATATAAAAAAAAACACAGGCAACGTGAAAAAATGTCACGACGGAACACTTTTAGTCCACTCAATCAAACACCATACGTACACGCGTTAGTACCCATAACAATATAATCCCGGACCACTAGCACTCGGGTCTAGCGGGTCCGGGAACTGGTAGACGTGTAAAATCTAACGTGCGTTAGTTGATTTCTCGGTTTTTTTTTTTTTTTTGAATAGTCTAACCTAACTTTGCGGTCATCGTACGTGTGTGGAATATATTCGCAGTAGTGGCGAAAAAAATTGCATGGTAAATGATCAATAAAGTCGGCCCCCGTACGCGTTGAATTTGGGGAGACTTACGCGGGCTTCGCCCGTGCGGCATACAATTTTCGTTTAAAATTGTCGTAAATAGATTGATAAACAGATTTAAAAATGCCAATGTCCGATTAAATTAGATCAAAATTTAGAACAAGGAAACGTCACATCGCGTGAACACGATTTATGGTATCATATCAATCGCACGGTTGCGGCCAATCGAACTTCGTGCTATGATAGTGACACCTATCGAACTGAATCCGAAATGCTCGACCCCGGGGACATCGTTCATAGTTCTTCAATAAGGACGCAAACATTAGATCATCGGCCGATTGCCTCTCCTCCACCAGGCCAGCCATATATCTCCTGTTTATTTCGCGGAACCGATCAAATTTCCAGTTCGGTTCGCTCGTTTGTATTAACGCTCTCAATTTACATTTTAAATTTTGATTGCATAGTACGTTATTGTACGCTGTGGACATAACGGTACAATTGTCACTAAACACTACGACCGTAGTTTACTTTTTTCATGAAATAACTCGTTGTACCGCGATTTAGGATACGCGCAAAGTCAGTTTCGCACTGTCACGCCTCGAGTGGAAAAAATAGCCCTTGTCTCGTATCTCCGACGGTCGGAGCCTTATAGTGGCGACCGTTGACAGCGGTACGGTTACGTTTTGCATATCACGTTTTTATCGACAACGGCGAACATTTAATGCCGGTTAAAAAACGATTTAAACAAATACAGATCGGCCAAAGTGCCGTCTGGAATCCCTCAGATGACGTCTTTGCGGTCGTCTCTGGCGCGCTGCGTGTGGACGAATATTTTAATATTCCTGCGGTTATTGACGCACAATCTCGAAATGTTGATTAATGGCCGATTTCGCAATCTGGCCACGACCGAAAGATTTACCGGACCCGTAGACACGCCACAGAATACGTTCGTGGACGAAGACTTTCAGCTACAGTCCTGCGGTGCCCAACAGGGAAATATCGTGACAGAATAAGCGCGCTCGGCGCGCGGCGTTCTCACGTTTAACCAAGGGTTGTTTAGCTTTTTGGTGTTAACACAACAGAACCGTGATATTCTATGCTATCGAAAGGGAGAGGACGCACGCGAAAATATAATGGTAAACATTATGGACAAACACAAGTGTGAATGTATCGCCAAGATTCAGTTAATTATAAAATCTAAATATCAAAAAATGGAAACGAAAAAAAAAATAGTCGAGGTCCTGGGATAATGGGCCTGGTGCAGCCACTGTTATAGGTTATTTAATGTATGTCTGTAGACAACGATAAACAGTTGCTTGCGAAAAAAAAAAACGACTCTGAGCGCAGTTCAGTTTATAGTGACGTTCAGTCAACAGTATATATATATACACGTCACATTATGGTAGAATAATAAAATCAACAGCCAAAAGATAGCTCTTTCCGTTCCGTTATCGTACATATACTCGCGCGTACATCGTGTGTAAAGTTTTTAACGAGATCGCTTTTTTTTTTTCACGCGCGAGATTTTACGACGTTAAAAACACGCGAGCTATTGAGACGACGACGTGATGACTGCTGCAACAAACGGTTTTTTTTTTTTTCCATTTGCTGTTTCACCACGTCGTTGCCGTCGCAAATGTCATGATATTTTTGATTAATGGAAACAAAACAAAAAAAAAAAAAAACCCTGCAAAAACACGCCACCTCACGAACGCGTCAAGCGTTCCGGGATGCACAGTGCGTGTTCGCCGAGCCATACGAAAATCGCCAATAATTTATCAAAGAAAAAAAACTGATCAAAAGAAATTACGATCGTTTTATCTCGCTGCCACCGAAAACCGCGAAAGGCACATAATAATAATGTACTTATTAATGACATTATTAGTTTGACAGCGACGGCGACGGCGACAGTGTTGAATCGAAACGATATTATTTGTGTTTATTTATCATCGGGTTTTTTTTTCGTAAATTTATAAATACCTATTTATTTTTTTGCTGCATAAAGAAAAAAAAAAAAAAAAACGCTGGACCAGAAAATTGCATTCTATTGATGTCGAATCGCAGACGCCCGGAAAATAACCGAAGAAAGGAGGAGTGCAATTATTTTTATTTTCTTCGTTTTCTCTCGACGGACGAATATAAAATTTTCAAATTTTCCACGGTTGCGGATGAGAAGGAATACGATAAACCATTACGTTCAATAAATGATTCTGAACGGACCACGGTTAACCGGTAAGTTATTGCAGTGTTGTTATTTCTTATGTGGCCAAGGTCAACTCAGAAATCAACAAAACTAATACCAACGAGAGTAACGACATTTTTTTTACCGGTGATTTTTGATATTCTTTTGAAAATCTGTCGGGAATCCATTCATTTTTTTTTTTTTTTTCAAACGACGGATGACCCGATAAAAACCCTGATCTTTTGAAGTACTTAATATGAATAAATTTTAGAGCATTCATAGTGATCGAAAAATTATTTGCAGAATAAAAAAAAATACACCGCACCTTAGTAAAAACCGTAGTTTTTTCGTTATACACAGAATTTAAAGCGGAAAAATTACTCACGTTGTTCAATTTTTTCACCACTACGCTGCGTATGATTTGCTCAGTGCTCTGTCCGTTAGGGTTAAAATCAAAAAAATTGCAGTTTGCTTATGATAAAAAGTTGCATAAAACCGAACTGTGAATTTGTACAATTTTCCAAAATCGATTTAATTTTGTCTTTGGATTTCACTGTCCTCGCCGACACATTGATATCCCGCGTATTTTATTTTCCATAAAACGGATGTGCGGAACGGCCAAAGGGTCAATACAGTCCGCGTGTTCCGGTTGCGCGATCCAAAAAAGTCGGGCAATCGTTTTTTTTTTCAAAGTCGAAAAACGGCATAATATACCGACGTCGTGGTGTCACTGCAGATCATTACGACCAGAATAGAGGAATGTACCCAGTTTTACGTACTGTATCCGATCGATTTTGACGAGAAATAAAACTGATCGAAATCGGCCGCTATTCCCATGGAATTCCGGCTATTGTTGGTTTTTATCCGTTTCTTTTTCTATGCGTTACGCATATCGGCGAATCGCTCTTATCGCATTACGATTTAAGATTCCGAGCGTAGCGAGGGGAGCTACTGGTTTTACTGAGATGTTTTTTTTTTATTTTTTTCTTCTTCCAGTATGTGGACACGTTTTTTCCTGGTAAACTTGCTCCGATGATTTTCACGTGTAGCAACTTTTTCGAATGTTCAAGTTGTCTAAATTTTACTTTAAAGAGGTGGTTTTTTTGATTTTCGACGCTATTTTTCTTTACAAAAGCACTTAAGTGAGGTAAAAAACGTTAGGAAAACGTACAATTTCACGACCTCATTATTTTATAAAAACACGGACGACGTTTTATACCAGATAAAACGATTAAATCGAAAAATCACAAGACATATTTTTTGTTGCCTTTTTGATTTTCTTTCTTACGGTATTATCGTCAAAACTTTTGAGCTTTTAAGAGGAATTTAAATTTTTTACTGCAATTCGGTTATGAACACAGATAGAGATACACGGTAACAATACTTATATTGGACTTACTTAGACGTGGTAAAATTTCCAAAATCATCGGACGGATTTTTTTTTTTTTTAATAAGAGTTTTTAAAACGAATTTAAATAAAAATTACAAAAAAAAATTACGGCACTTCGGAACCACGCTCGTAATCGTCTTTCGTCAAGCAATGGTTTATCGTTGCTTACAGATATAAATAAAATAACCTTATGTACCCTACCTTCCCAACTTCTCACCTATAACAGCGGCCGCTACTATCCCCAGTATCAGCTCTCTTTTTATATTTTTAGTTTGTAAATAACGTGTGGACCTGCATACTCGGACCGAAAACTTCACAGAACCCAAAGGGACAGTGACGGTATAAATCACATATACATATACACACGTACACACACACATACACAAAAAAAAAAAAAGGATTTGGATCAAGGGAAAAAGTGTAAACCTGTATAATATAGTACGCAGTCGATAATCGCGCGCTGCTACTAGTGTACGGGTATTATACGGTATAGGTACACAAAGTCCATTAGATTTTTCGCGTAGGCGCCTTTTAACGTGCATTTATAGAGCAGTCGGTGTACTCGATTTGACGTTATTTTTTTCACCCGAATTTTTTTTTTTTTTACGTCCGTTCGTCAATTATTAACGTGCACGTTCTCGGGTTATCGCGCGACACGAAAAAATAGGTTTTAATCGCAGCCGTTAGTCCACGTTTATTTATTAATTTTCGTTTTATTATCATCGCAATCGGTTATTTTTTTTTTTCCCGTCGAGCGTGTATAATAATTTATCCGACGACCCCTGCAGGTACGTTTTAACCCGTAGACACGGATGTCGCAGTGACGTATACTTAAACGCCGTACTGATAACGCGGCCGTAGATTCGTTCCTCTCGGGGCGGGACACGGACACAGAAAATACGGCGATTCGTATTATATTTCGTTTAATACAACGGCAAAAACCCGGTATAGAACAACGCTATAATCGAAAATGATTGTTCTTAATAAGTTAATAATAGAGTAAAAACAAAATTATAAAAATGGTTGATACTCGTCACTACGTGTTTTACATTTCGACGGCGGTACATCTGATGATGGATTTATATTTGGAAACCGGTCGTTCAATACACTTATCATATAAATAATACGCCAGGTGACTTATTCGTTCATTTATTTATTTTTTATTTCCCTATATAGTTATTTATTAAAGGTTTTTTTCTCATTTGCGTATTCCAGGCATCGTCACAATAACGAATACGAGCAGACGCAAAACTCGGTATGCTTACGTGTAAACTTGGATGCAAAACATGCATATCATTGTAAAACCACACGATCCTACGCTCCACTCAGAATCTAAACATTGAATTTCAGAGTGAATCGTACCGTGTGATTGCAAATGGGGTGTTTCTTTTTTAGCTTTTAACGGCCCTATACAAACTCCCGACTCCGTGAAGACGGGAAAATGAAATTTGATCGTAAGATTATAGTGAAGTTCTACATGGTACTTACACGAAACGTACACGTAAAAATAAAGTATGTAATATGTTTTTTCATTATTATATTATAAGGTTAAGTATTTGTTATTTTCTAAAAAAAAAAAATGCAGGTCTATAAAATTAAACAAAATAAGTGAAGAATATTTGACTTTGTAATAGTGACTGATCACTGCTGTTCGCGGGTGTTTTTATTGATTCGTTTAACAAATTTGTGATTTAATATTTACCTTTTTAGAGGAAAAAAAAAACCGCCGGATTAAATGTCGGTTTAAACTTAAGCGGCCGAAAACACTATTAATTTAAACACAATAAATACCCGTTTTGATTTTCAATACAAACGCACGCATTTCGCTTGACAATAATTTCGTTGTTGTACTGCGGCTGAGTATAATTTATATATTTACAAGAGTACTACTACGAAGTCGTTTAAAATATATTGCATAGAATTTTGATTTTCGTTTTGGTGCACATAATAAAATATGCTTCATTAAGTACCGACCGAAAGTAATATATTTTACTCGGGTAGTTGTTTCGTATTGTTTTTATGAAATAGATTGTTCCAGATGATAATTTATACGCCTCACAATATAAAAAAAAAAAAAAACGCTGATATTGTTGATGAATGTGCCAGTGTTTTACGAGAAGAGTTGGAAGGAAGTATGTACAAAGTAATTAAATGTATGTCTCTGCGCAACCGTTAAGCCTTTATTAACGAAAAACGATTCTGGGCGAACAATAATCAATCGTGTTTCACAGTCTCATAGATACTACTAGTAATCAATCCAAAAAAAACATGTACCTTTATGTATTCCTTTTTTTATATAGTACCTTATGATGCAATACCGATTTGGGAAAATAATAATTATACGTTCAGCTGTAGCCATGTTATAAACTGAATGATATCAAAATGCGGTGTCATTTTTAAAATAAAAATAAACATTTTTTTATTTATTTTTATGTTATTATTATATTTAAGTTTAAAAAAAATAAGTAATTGTAATTTTAAAAATGGCACGCCATAAAACATTTTTTAGCACACTATATATTACCAAAGAATTATATTGTAGCTAAACGAATGAAAAATATACATAAAAAAAAAAAGTTTAGTATGCAAGATTATTCCTATGTTAATAAGTTGTTGGGAAATTAAAATTTTAATAATGATTGAATTATATCATAGATTTTATGGGTATTTAAATTATAATATTTATGGGTGTAGTTACCCCAATAAACTAAAGATCCGAAAATACTAAATTACCACTCGACCGGTAGACCCTAAATTAATGAGGTGCAGCCACTGTTACGGTTAATTTGATGTATATCTGTTAGCAACAATTAAGTATTGATAACCAAAAAACGACTCTGAGCAGAGTTTAGGTGATAGTGATGCTTTTTCAATAACCTTTATCATGCGTTGTACTATGGTAAATAAATTAAATAGATATTACATATAATGTTGATATTTAATAATATTATATTATTATAACATATAATATATTTAATAATATTTGTTTAAAATATCGATTATTCCGTTTTTCCTACGGTTTACCTGGTTTTTCACATTTTCTGGTTAAATTCCTGAAATAATCGAAAAATGACCTTTTTACGAAATCTTACGTATTCTACGTATGCGGGCCGATGCATGGATGCTCATACACTAATCTCACACGGTACACAAAAAAAAAAAAACTAAATATTATAGTGTATAAAAAAACGTTAACGAGTGTATAAAATACGAAGGAATCGATTTCAAACTCAAAAACCAAATACAAGAACGTGGCGAGAAATTGCGCAATGTGGTGAAGAACCGCAGGTCGTTTATGGACGTCGATAATTATGAAAGAGTCCCGGATTAAGGTGCTAGATTTAAGTGAACAGCTGAAATCGTGTCACATACCGTTCGTAGCTACTGACCGTCAATCGGACATCGATCGTTGAACCGTGCGGTGGCTTTTCGAACAATTCGTCTCTGTCCGGCGTACACCCGTCGCGGAACTCAAGCTATTGGATCGGCGGATCGTTACTTTTCAAGTGATTACTAACGTCGTATTATATTTTAGTTTTTTCATTAATGCTGATTTTAAATAATAGTTTTCTTATCCGCCGCAAACAAATAATCATCCGTATCACCAAGGTAACACTTGAATAAACGAAAACAAATAAATAAGAAATTAGATATTTGTACCGGACATACATAAAAACCCCTATTTTACCCCCTTTATGGGTTGAATTTCCAAAAAATCCTTTCTTTACGGATGCCTACGTCATAATAATAATCCGAGTGCCGAAATTCAGTCCGATCTGTACAGTATAGTTTGTGCCGTACAATGGCGAATCGGTCAGGACAATTTGTTTTGTATGTACAGAAGACAGATAAAAACGCGCAATTTTAAAAAATGATCCGTTACCATAGTTACGTGATAATTTTCTTGAAAACGTTTAACCTTGCTCAGTCATAAATATCGATTGATATTTTCGAACCGACTTAAACATAGCTTTGGTTTTTGGTTTATTTTTTGTTCTTTTAAATGTTTTACTAAACCCAAACCAGTGGAACGGATTGGTCGTTACTCACTATTGCATTGCCTATTGACCGAAAATCCATCACCGCAAAAGAAAACGGAAATTAAAATTATATTTATCGTTAAACACGATTTTATTCAGACAATATCGAAATAAATCATATCATTTCGAGCAATAAATCAATTGTTCATGAACGTTATTTAATTAATAGGTATATAAATTCATTTTTATCTATTCGTACTTTGTAGATTACGAAATTAAAAAAAACAATATATATATACATAGAATAATAAAATTTTAGACATTCGTTGTTACTGAAAGTACACGCATCTATATAAAATTATTTTATTGAAATATATATTTATGGGAATATATATTATGTGTGTATTTTTTGTACATTATATGTGTATAATCGTACAACGAATATATGACCGATAGTTTATCGTGTCATAAATTAAATTATACGTTTCATATCGGCTCGGCGATAAATTTTTTTTTTTTTTTACGAAACGAAAAGTAGATGAAAAAAAAAAAAACAAACTGCGTTCGCGTATGAATCGAATCGATCTATACGGTGCGCGCAATGTTATTTTGTGCGGCTATGTACGTATACCGTCATATTTCGTGTGCTGCGCGAGCGTAAAGTGTCATGGCGCGGGCTGTCGTGCCGTTCAATTGCGGACATTCTATTCGTTTCGATATTATTTAATTAATAACTTCGCAGAGGATTTAATTTAGTCGACCGTGCCACTGAAATCCGGCAAAATAATAATAATCTGCGATATACCGCCGTTCGAATACAGAAATCGCCATCGCGATCGATTAATTTATTCGTGTAGCGTCAACCGGGGTATTCAATGTAAACAAATTATCTACAGAATGGGCGCGTGTCTTTGTCTTTTACCTTGTCCGGATACAAAATGGAAAACAACTACGGTAGACACGAGTCGTTATTCGTGAAAAAAACCTAAACACGGTGTCTAGACAAATATTTTCTAGTCAATAGCTGATAATAATTGGAAATCTATGATCGATGTCCGAGTAAAATGCGATTACAGGCGGCGCCGCACATCCGGGAGGAAAGCCGGGAAACGGGACAATATGCAAAGCGAATGTAATTTATATCCGTACGCAACGTTAAACCGCGGGCAATGAAAAACGATTCTGAACGGAATACTATTGTTCGTATTTTCGCCGTTGTCGCCACGGTGACCTAGAAATCGATAAAGACGCCACCAACTGTGTAGTACAAAAATACCACGACGAATTTCTACGGGAACACGGTTTCTGGTAAAAGATTAACAGTTAACGGACACGGAAAATGAGCAACGCGCCTAGGCAATCCGTAGGCCGGTAATCCAATACGTGTGTCGCTTCGCTCAGAATCTGAAATGATTAATAATCGCTAGGGCAGGTGAACAGTTGTAGATTTTTATCGTTTTATATACCCGGGTACGGGAATAATATATCACCGGATCACTATGATCACCGTCCGCATACGTAATATACTCTTCGGGCGATCGTTTTCATTTTATCGTCAACCGCGCCGCTACCAGGCCGGCGCCATTACGAGCGCGGCGAAACCGAACGGCGTTTTCGACCGGGGACAAAAAACCGTATCGTGCACGACCGGTTGGATTTACGATCTCGAGAAAAAAAATAAAATTAATAACGACAAACGCGACATCGCGAACGGGCGGATGAAAAATCCGAAAAATCTCCCGCCTCGACTCATTAATACAATTAACACGGTAATAATAATATTTGTGGTTAAGCTGGTTCGGCCGGTATATCGCATTTCGCCGTGCGCCGCCGCGTCGTAATGACGGTACAAACCGTTTTTTTTTTTTTTTTTTTATAATTTTCCGCGCGCGTCTTTCTCTCCGAAGTCTTCGGTACCGCACGCGCCACGAGCGCGAGTACACGGACGTTGCGCGGACCGGGGCTGCGAGGGACCGCGGTGAGGAATTTCACCGCGGCCGTACACCGAGCGCCGGCCGCGGTCAGCGCGTTTCGCGCGCGTACGCGTCGCGGGACGACGACGGCGACAGGGGGAGCGGGACGTTTAATTAACCCCGAGACCGCGCGGCCGACGGCGACCGCGGTGACCGCGCGCGGGCACGGCAAAACGGTTTTTCAATTCCGCCGCGGCGTTCGAAATATTGTCGCCGCGCGACTACAACCGTCCGAAAACCACCGCCGCCACCCCTAACCCGGCTCCGTCCCCTGACCCTGCCCGTCTGCCGCGGGTACCGTCGTATCGGACACGCTGCGTCCCCGGCGAAACCGCCGCGCGCGAGCTGATTTCCGGCGGAATCGATTCCCCCGGCCGTTCTCCGTTCGCTCGGCGCCTCGCCGATCCCCCGCGCGCTCGCCCCGAACCGCGGCCGCTTATCGCCGCAAATTCACCCGGCACGACGCGCCGCCGATCGGCCGCGTCTTGCGAGACTCGCCCGGACGATGACCGGCCGGCGGCTCGCGGCCACGTCTAAATTGCACGCGATCGCTCGCACGCGGACCAGTTTTGGATTTGGATTCGATTTTCACGGCGTCGCGCTATCCGGTTAATAACAGCGGATAATAGGAATTCTTTGTTTCGTTGGGGCGTTTAACGGTCGAATTTCCGTTAACCTTTTGTTTTTTTTTTAACCCTCCGAAAATACAGTGTTGAACATTAAAAAACGGTATACGGGAACGCGAGCAAGCATCGATGTTGAACCGATAATTTATTGGGAGTTCGTGATTTGCACAACCGCAGGCAGCAACATATTGTGTGTATAATTTACACAAAATTAAAATCATCTATGCGTTTGACCGACAAGTAAGTGCCTATGACCCACGGCGGTGTAATAGACAATTTTAGCTGACCCGTACTACCAATTTTAAAATCCAAAAATTATTGTGTTCCTTATGGTAAGTTTATTTATTAAATAACCACTCGACATCGAAACGGAATATTCTGTGTCTTCAGACGCTCATATCTCAATAAAATATACTCCGATATCGGAACTGGTACGTTCAATAATCAATTTGAATTTTCACGCAAATCGCATTTTCTATTTCTTACCATCTGAGACGGTGCAAACTATAAGCGCAGTAAAAAAAAAGTGTTTGCGCAAATTGTAAATGTTGTATATATTTAGAGTCAGTTTTTTTTTTTTTTGTATATTGGCTACATCCAAACTATTACGCGAGACCATGCTTAGGAACAGGCGGAACCAAAGAACGGCGAACCGAAACCGACCCGTCCGTTTTCGTGATAAAAGGCAAAAAAAAAGATTTAAAAAAAATTTAAAAAAAATTTTAGCTAGCGTTTTCAATTTTGATGCGCACTGTTTGCATCAGCACCGCGTCGAGTGCACTTACATATAAGTCTCGTTGAACCGGCATTCGATATATACCGGTAATATTATAGTGTTAACATGATATTGTCGACAGCGCGACGTGCGTCCCCCTATGATGCTCTGCCCCGGGTCGCACCGGTACCGTCACGAAAACGTCGTTAAAGAGATATAAAGCCGAATTCCGACCACAATAACGATAGCGCAGAACCGCGCACGCCGTCTTTTTTTAAACATATTTTTTTTTTTTCATTCGTTTCTCTTTCCCCCCGTCGCATCTCTATCTTTGCTATCGGTCAATATCTCTGTCAACGGTGTACACGCTGGCTCGAGTGGCGGCATTGAGTGATGCGCTGCCACCACCGTATAAATATCGGCGAATACTTTAGGTAATATGATATTAGTATTAAAACGCGATTTCGACCACACGTCACGAGATTCACACTGAAATACGGATTTTCGGGCCCCCCCTCCCCGTTATTTATTGTAATCACGTCGCTTTATTCGAACCCTTAAATCTGCCACTGGTCCTAGAATAATGGGGGTCGGGTACAGCCGCTGTTACCGCGAATATAATGTACGCCTGTAAACAACGATAAATCATTGCTAACGAAAAAACGATTCTGAGCAGAGTTCAAACGATGTGATGTTTCGTCAACAATATATGGGCATGGCATACTATACTGTAATATAATTAAATAGGCATTGTATATTTTCTTTGAAAATATTTGTTTAATGTACCGATTTTCCCGTTTTTCCTATTTTTTCCCTAGTATTCCCGTGTTTTTTCCTGGTTTTTCACATTTTCTGGGAAAACTCTTGAAAAAATCGAAAAATGACCTCCCTAAAGTACCTTCCTTAACTGATTTCCTTTTAGAAGAATTGCTATCGTTATATATTGATTATTAATTTCCGATAGAAATGTTGTCCACAGGAAAAAAGAACATAATATTTTTAACTAACTTACATTTTTTCCGTTTTCCTCCGTTTCTTTTCGGTTTTTTACAATTGTTGAAAACAATTTTGAGAAAATTTAAAAATAACTTCCTAAAAGTAAAACTATCAACGCCAAATACCTTTTAGAAAAGATGCTACATGTAAAAATTGGAGCAAGTTCTCTGGTAGAAAAGTTGTCTACAGGAGAAAAAAGAAAATAATAAACAACTTTATAAAACCATATAGTTCTTCACTCCACTCGTAGTTTAAAATCGAAAAAAAAAACACAGAAATCCAAAAATTATGTCCCATAAAAAAAAAAAATATATAATATGCGTAGTACACGTCAGAGTCGTCTGCAGTGAACCGACGTCGGTTTTTTGCGGTTGGAATACTTTATATAGCCGCGAAGAGGTGAATTTTTTTTTCTTTTCACTCTGTTGAATTTTCGTCACCCCTTTTTTTGTTTTGTACCTTATTAAAAAAAAAAAAAAAAAGAACCCTCGTTCGTATTATACTACTGCGTATTATAATAATAATATGGTGTCCCGACCTCGAGTTGCACGCCGCATACCTTACAAACGGTCGCATTGTTTTCGGTCTGGTCCCGTTTTACGTAAAACATTATCGTCGGAAGAGGGAGATTCACACTTAAGAGCTTTATTCGTAGCATTTTAGCGATAATCGATTTGAGACAAGACCTATACCGTAACTAACTCTACGGTTAAAAATACATATTGTTATCATTTATCAATTTGCGTTTACCGAAACAAATGACCGGCAGAACTGGGATTTGATTGGGAACGTAAATCGACGGACATCTAACGTATAAACATTGGCCGATTCCACAGTATACGAAGTTTACCGAGTTCAATAGAGTCTTTTTATAATTATTAATGTATTTCACGAGAAACAATATAAAACGGCAATGAACAACAC